CATATTTTACACGTCTGCGCTGTCACGTGACTCGGCCCCCATTTCTGATGTCACACTGACTGTCATTGGCTCAAGCAGCCAGCAGGTTTTATAAAGAATTCCTATAGTTTAAAAGAGGAAATGGAGTACTTTGGACTATTATAACAATTAAAAAGTTGTTCAGCAAGAATAATGGATTAACATAAAAAACCTTCCTGGACCCCTGTAATTATCTATGTAAGTTTCTATTAGTCAAATTGCTGTTATAGTAAGAGGGGGGGTGTGATGAGCACTAGTTGTCTAGTATTAAAAATTAGGGGTGATTTTATAAAAGGTTTTATTTCTGATGTTTCTAAAGTACTACTAGGGCCGGCCTCATCTTATGTTGGGCACAGATTTCCTTAATAGGCAATGCCTGTGACATCAGAAATGGGGGCCGAGTCACGTGACAGCGCAGACGTGTAAAATATGTTTATTATATTTTACGCATACAGCGAATTCCGAATAGTGAGCTCTTTAGCTCTTTTCGTAGTCTCATTCAGATTAATATTTATTATAACCAGCACAATTCCTCATTACAATGCCCATCAGTTGCCCTTATCTTTATGAGTAGAAAGACTCACAGGCATAAAAATGGCAAAATAACATTTTATTAGTTCTCTCCCTGCTTGTTTCCTAGTTTTTAGAATATAGTTTTACCTATGTTTATTTAATTCACTCATTAACACTATGTGGGACTCACAAAAAATATCATAAATTTTGATGTATCCATGCTTGGGAATATTGGCAACCAATACAAATTCCTATCATTAGCACAAAACCTATAAAATGAATGGAGTAGATGGAAAGGTGTGAATTGCATTATGAAAAGCATCTACAAATAAATAAAATAAAAAGAATGTAATGATGCTTTTAAAATTGGTCCAAGCAGGTTGCAGAGAGAAAGTGTAGAGAAAAATGTTTTCAGGCAAATACATTTGGTTTTACAAGCAACTGCATATATATATAATAAGATTGGTTGGGAGGCAAATTGTGTTTTCATTTTATCCTTAGCTTTTATTTTAATCAGCTTACTTTATTTTGCTAATACTTCACTATAATTAGTTTTTGATATTCCAATGAGCTCAGTTAAAAAGGGATTCAAAAAATTAGGTAGTATATCCTTCCCCAAGATAAATTTATACCTGCCACTCCAACTGGACCAATCCACATATAATGGATGTGATCATACTATTGATGTTGTATATGATGCTGAGAAAAATACTGTAGAAACTATAACATTAGACATTAATGAAAACACAACATTCCAGGAAGTCACCACTATGGCATATGATGAATTAGTGAAACAGAAAACACTTCTGATCAATGGAAAGGCTGTTAGCAAAGAAAAGAGAGACAACTTGATTGAGTGTATCATTTATGAGAAAAAAGGTAAGGATAAGTTTATATACAGTAAACACAAAGATTGTACAATTCACAAATTCCAGGAGAAATATAAATTGAAAGAGATCTCCCTGAAGCTTGTTCATAATAAGGATGTGTGATAATAAGTCAATATTTAAAATGATCAATTACTGAAATATACTATTATTAACTCACCACCAAAGTATGTCTAGGCTGGCCTAGTCTGCTTGGATAGATAATACAATTGCTTTGAGCTGGTATATTTGGTCCATATAGAGAGTTGTGTATAGCTTTCCTTTATAGGCAATGCCCATTGGTTGCCCTTTTTCTTGTGAATATGAAGACTCAGTCATAAAAAGGGCAAAACAACAACATTTATTTGTTCCTTCTCTTTTATTTTCCCAGCTTTTACAGAATACATTTTTAAATATTTATGAAATACACTTGTTAACATAGGCAATGGAAAATAATTAAAGTAGTCAAGCAGCATATTTGTAACATCAAAAATGGGGGCCGAGTCACGTGACAGCGCAGACGCGTAAAATATGTTTATGATATTTTACGCGTACGGCGAATTCTGAATAGTGAGCTCTTCAGCTCTTTCCGTAGTCTCATTTCTATTAATATATATTATAGCTAGTCCAAATTGCATTACAATGACAACGATTTCTATTTTCACTGTCGATAGTTTTGAATAAATAAGCGGAGCTCTTTAAGCTCCCTTATAGTGAATTTTGAATAATAAATATATTTTTGACAAACTATTCTTATTACAGTGTGGATGCCCATTACCAGGACAAAGAAGCTGGAACTTAGATATGAAACGCGGCTGGAAGGAGCTAACAGAGGACATTTGTCATTTTATCAAACCATGGAATTTAAAACCTCTAGCATAATTGCCTCCCCACAAGAGGCATTGTTTGATACACGTTCTGAGAATACCATTTTTGACATATTAATAAATCACATTAAACTAATTCCAAAATTCCTTAGAGAGGCCTTCTATTGAGTCCTCTCTAATTGCCCTATTATAGGCCATGTAAAGCTCCTCAAATGTTACTGTATAAATGTCTATCCAGTATTAATCCAGTAGACTGTGGGCTCTCGGCTTAGATGAGGTTATATTATGCTCTGGCAGCATCACAAGGAGTATATGGGGAATAGGGGCAGTAAAGCCTTTATTATTAAAATAAAGCCAATGAAGGGGCCTGAAAGGGCCAATATCCACAGCTTCAGTAGCCTTTGGCTACCTCGAAATAAAAATTTGAAATAGTAATGTAGATATAATTCCATCAATAAATTAAATAAAAAATCAACAACACGACTGTGCCCACTTGTCGCAAATTGGTATAAACACTAAGCCCATGGACTAAGATTATATATAAAAATGAAAATTTCCTTTGTGTATAATTAAGTTCAATATAGTCATCAATACTATTACCGATTGTAAAATACACCGCCCTATCAGCCCTATGTCACTTTAAATGTGCCTTGACTGTGACATTTAATCAGTAGTATTATAAAATCTATTATAAATGCTGCACTTGCTCCATATCGTGCATAATGTCCAGTGTGTCCTGGTCGATAATGTCATCCTCATCAATATCATCATCGTCATCTTCGTCATTATCTCCGTTCCCATCATCATCCTCATCCTCATCTTGGCCATTGTCAATATCCGTGTCGACATCATCTTCGTCACTGTAGTCATTATACCCGCCGTCGGTACTCATTGAATTGGACCGCACTGATGCTCTGCTGGAATGTTTGGTCGCGGCATTGTGCGTTGCATTTGCGTCATCAAAACCAGTGCCACCATTGATGCGACGCGCACTTATGTGTGGCACAAGTCTCGCTGCCGCTGCACAAGCGCAGGGTCATCTGCCAAAGAATCGTCACCTTCGTCACCATTGTTGTTGTCACTGGCATCACCATCCAACTTTATGTTGGCTTTGCTACCTGGTTTGGGCGACCAGACTGATGGTTTGGCAAAATTAAACAACGCCACGTTGGTTGTTTGTGAGTCTTAGCAACGTTGCCATGACGAACATGATCATCTGCATATGCAAACGAAGATGAATCCGATACGGATCCTGCTTCAGAACACGATGCAGATGCAGGGGGCGACATGGCTTTGGGTGTGTTACCATCACCTTTGTCGCTTATTGAAGTGCACTCTCCATCGGCAACACGGTTCAAGTCTGAGCCCGATGGTGTTGATGCAATAGCCGATGGCAATGAAGCGGTTGAGGTGGTGGAAGCGGCGACGAGCCACGCACAAGATTAAATGGTGATAACGCGCTGCTAGCCTTTTTCAAAAGGTTCAAGTGACCACCACTGATGTTGCTATTGTTGTCATTTGCCGTGTCTGTATCTGCTGCTGGTGCTGCCTCAACATGCAGCCATCGGCTGCGGCCCCTTTGCATCTGCCTGCGAGCTGTCGGACACATTGGGCGGCAGTGCAGTTTGCGTCGAGCTGGCCCACGAATCGGCTCTCTGTCGGACTGCGGTGTCTGACAGTGCCGGTGTTCCCAAAGCCAGATATTGCTGGTGATGATGATGACCTCCTGCGTGGGACAATGGTGACCTTTGGTTTTGCGCTGGCGACCCAATGCTCGACTGTGCGTGGCTCGTCCGTGGAACATGTACAATGGTGACGATATCGAAGTGCGACGCGCGGCACTGGGCAATGACAAAGCAGTAGCCACAGCCGCAGGGACGGTGCCCTTTGCGTTCACACTCGGCTTGCTCTTGTTCGCTGCGGCATTCGCCTCCAGGGTCAGCATAGCATCGATCTCGGCGAGCTCATCGTCGATTTCCGGCATCTTGGGTTTCCAGTACTCCCAGTCATTGTATTTTGGGTCGAGCTTTGACGACAGTGCGGGAACATCATGTCAACCAGGTCGTTGATCTTGACATACGATGACTTGTAGCCTGGAAGCAGATCCAGCTTGATCTCGCCGTACGTGTCGATGGTACAGATGCGCGACACAGGCACATTGACGCTGCGGTAAGACATGGCGTCGGTGATGCGGTTTCCAAAGCCGGCGTAGAACGGCGACTGGTCGCCGAACAGGTTCTTGATATCTCGCAGACATGCCATCTTGAACTCCTGTGGGCGGCGCATGATGACCTCGCGGTGGAACGACGTGAACAGGCGGTCGGGTGACAGCAGCAGTGGGCCCCTGGGAGCTTGAACTGACCCTGCTTGACGTTGTTTAAAAAGTACCGCGTGCCGTCAGCCTGCCCGATAGCCCTGGACGTCAGGTACAGGATCTCGTACCCGTTGTTGGCAATGTCGTGTACAGCTTGGCGACGCCCTGGTGCGTCCAGTCCTTGCCGACCATGTTGAACAGGTGGCCCAGCGCGTCCGACTTTGTAATCGTCCCATCGATATCAGAGATGACGATCTGCGTGTCGTATCTGTACAAATAGAGCTTCGCCTCGCAGTACGCCTTGTTTGAAGGCACAAGGAACTTGATGTCATTGGCGCCCTGCCTCAGGCCGAGCGACTTTAGCTGCTCGGAGGTCATCCGCACGTCTTGGCGTAGTGCAACGAATGCTGGTGACTGCGCTGCCTCGCCACAGGGTGTATCAAAGCCCCTCATCGCTCATGTATGCGCCGCCGGCCTCATCCGCCGAGGACATGCCGTCGTGCGTGGAGTACGGGTCATGGCCTCGACAGGCTGCAGCGGCATTCTGATGGCCACGGCGTCGGCGGGGTCCCCCTCTGCAACCAAAGTCTTTGCTACGAACCTGCAGCGCTGTCCGCGTCGGGCTGGGCAGTTGACGCTGTGCGTTGGCCCCATCGCCACCAGCGCCGGCCCTCGGGCTTGCTGGCAGTGGAGGCGGCTGAGGACGCGGCAGAAGTGGCGGCCGCTGCCGCCGTGGCAGAGCTGGCGGACAGCTCATCGCCAATGTTCAGGCTGCTGCTGTCGATCTCGGCGACAATCCTCTCTGCTGACGCGCTGGCAGCGTTGATTGCCGCCGGCTCAAGCGACGACGCGCCGCTGACGCGAAGCTGCGATGACTGCTGCGCGAGCCCTGGCAGCGTGATGACGGCGGCTGTGCTGGTAGAGCCGCCGGCGACTGAACTCTGCTGGTACTGCAAGCAGCGGTCCAAGGGCAGACCAAAGGCAAGCTGCGACACCAGCGCAATGACCAGAGCCTCGCCCTGCACATACTCGCCGTTGACTTGGCGGAAGACCAGGCTCGGGTTGGTGATGATACCAATGGGGTCGGCTTCAAATGTCTGCGCCTGAACGCGTGCACCATCAAATATGCGCTGCTGGTAAGTCGCATCGACAGCCACTTGCAAGGCCTCGATTCCACACAATGAAATCTCTAGAACCGGCGACGAGCTGGCCGACCTGCGGGTTACTGCTGCCTCCAGGAGCGCGGACACATCAAGTGCATGCTTATTGGGTTGCTCGCTGGCACCCGGCTGGCGCACGTCGGCAGCCGTCTTGTCGTCGACGCCGTTGATGTCGTTGCTGTTGCTGACGGCTAGCGAGGGCTCGGCGGCGATTTCGCCGGTGTGTGGCGTGGGCGTGATCTTGACGCCCCAGTCCCACTCGGAGTGCAGGCCACCCGACCCGGCGCGGCCGCTGCTGCTGTCGTCGTCAAGGCGGCCGCCGCTTCCGCCATTGCCACTGCGCGACATGGGAAATGCCAGGTCGCCAGTGCAGCTCTGACGCTGCCCGAGCTTGCAAGTTTTGCAAAGGCATCAAGCTCGAATGCTGAGTCGCTGACGGCGCTCATCGTGCGTCTTTTGTACCTGGCAGCCCGGCCGCCCACCAGGGATCCAGCGCCAGCGCCAGCGTCGGTGTTGGTGTTGGTGTTGTTGCTCTGGGAGCGCAGCCGGCTGGCAAAAAACTGCCGATCGCTGCTCCTGCGCCCTCCCGTGGCCGCAGGGGAAGAGAGATCGAGCTGGTGCAGAATGCGTTCGCTCGGCCTATTGCTGCCAATGGGCAGGGCCATGTCATCGTTGAAGGCCACGGCGGATGCGTCCGGCTGCCCCTGCATGAGCGGCTTGTGTTGGCTCCAGTGTTTGTGCAGCCCGATGTTACTTTCATTGTCGCTGTGCGCGCGGTCTGTGTCGAGATTGGATATCCGAGATCTGGTGTTGACCATGACATCGTCGCTGCTGCTGCTGCTGTTGGCGTTGGCGTTGGCGTTGCTGCTGCCTTCGGGCTCCGATTCGGGGTCGGATTCTGAGCCGTGCGCACTGGGAGCACTCACGTATCCGTCTACGTGTCATAAATCCAACAGGTAAGCAAACAAAAAAGAAGAAAGCAATGCATCGGTTGATTAGTCTGCAATGCTCGACTCGTTGCGCGACCAAATAACCAAATAAGCAAATAATCAAGCAAGCTTCGCAGCGCTAGCTCTCCTTTCTTTCTCTGCATTTGCAAAATTAAAAATAAGACATTGCCATCACTGCATCGAATCGAATCGCATCGCATCACACCTATTTATTGCTTGCTTACCTTTGTTAAGCTGGTCGGCAGCGTTGTTAGCGCCAAGATCGAGGAAATCGGGGTCATCCCCAATCCTGTACGACAGAGAAGGCGACGCCACAGGCGAAGTGACAAACTGGCTCGGCACATCGCTCTCCGTTTCCAAAACAAAAAAGCCCTCACCAGAGTCACCGACCTTCATGTAAAACTCGGCCGGCTTGTCATTCACAATAACCTGAACAGCCTTGTCCGACGGACGGAGGAGCTGCAATTTGCCGAAGCGCACGTGAAAGGGCGAGCAGCTGAAATTCCCGTCCTTATCTTCCACCACTACCACGTCGATGGCGCCGCTGAGTGTCGCTGGGTTGAGCTCCTTGTACAGTTGGCTGACTGTCGAGAAGACTTTGCCGACATACTGCATAATAAGAGTGGGCGAAGGAGCGTGCGTTTGTGTAATGAGGATGTCTTTGCGTGTAAATATAAAAATTAATAGTAGCAGTAGCAGAAGAAGTAGTAATTAAAGGTTGAATTTGGTGTTGAATTTAGAAATCTACTTTTGGATACGAAAAATAAATATAATGATAGAAAAAGTAGAGAAAGAAAAGAATAAAGAGGATAAAAAGGATAAAAAGAATAAAAAATAAAAAGGGCGGGGGAATGACGAAATACAGCGATTGAGTTGTTGAGTGGGCGAGGCGGGTCAATAGGCGGCGGGACGAGGTATTGAAAATATTGAAAAATGGTGCTGAAAAGGATAATACAATTTGCCTTCCTTGCTATTCCCCCTTGGATTCGGACGTCGGGTCACTACTATTCATCCACCGACGCCGCCTGCTGTCCACTTCAAGTGCGATGCAGTAAATCGCAGTGCACTTTGCTCCAGTCAACCCGGTGTGTGGGGTGGCAGCTGCAGTGCCGCTGCCAGTGTGGCTAGGCGCCTGGATTTTAATTACAATGCATAGTATACGTCACGCATGAGTGGGATTGAAAAATAATCAAGTTTTAATATTAATTTATTTCCTAATTGTTTTGCTTGCTTCTTTGCAAGACTGCCAGTGCTTCGTCTGCGTCTGCGTCTGCTGCGGCCACCAGTCAATATGCCCACACTATATACTTTTGTTTGTTTGTTTTATTTATCTATTAATTCACATATTAATTCGTGTATCCTGTTCAGCAGGTCTCTATATTTGTTTTGTTTGCAACTGCTCCTTTTTACTTTGGCTACTCACATGCACTTTACACAATTATTCCGCTTCCTGGACTTCATGCTCAATTAGAGAAAAAGGTATTGCTAATAGCGATTAATTGCTTGACCAGCCAAAGCAAGTATGCATCAGAAATACTTATAAATGTGCAGGATATTTTCGCCGCTCACTTTTCTTTATTTTTTTCTGCTTCAATTCAGTTTTTTCTAGTTTTTATAACTTTATATTGCAAATTTTTTGTATCGTGCTGCACCCTTATTCACAAGTACTCATAGTTTAACAAAGTTTAAGTATTTATACCATGTATAATTTGACCACATAACCATCACCTTTTACCAGAAAAAAGAGCAGTTCTTTAATGCTCGCAACATCAATAGTGCAGTTTCTGCAAGCAACACAACAAAAGGCAAACTAAAAAAAAAAAAAAAAAAAAAAAAAAAAAAAAAAAAAAAAAAAAAAAAAAAAAACAACAAACAAAAGACAAAACCTACGGAAATCGTGGAAAAGTAAATGTTATTGTAGTGGTTGATGAAGAATTTTCCTTTATCCCATCTCCAAAAAACTCAAGGTCGGCGATGCAATTAAAAAATAAAAAACTTTTTGTAAAAATGTATCATTTGAAGACATGAAGCGCGCTAAAACTGACGAAAAAATAGATCCCAAAACGTCTATGAGTATTTTTAATCATTCTGATGTTAAAATTGTTGGCAAGTCAGTAGCCCCATTGAAGACCCTCATGCACAACAAAGCTGCGGCATATCTAAAAGCGCTTAAAGGGGGCTCTGATAACACTATTCGGGTCGCTAATAGAAAAACACCATTATCTTAATACTATAGTTTTTGCATTCTATTTTGGCCATTAAGTAAAATATATCACTAACATCGTCTGCTTCAATGCCTGCTCAGTTTGAAGGGGGGACTTGTTTTATGACCCGGCTACTCCTAATTACACCCCCATTCTTTTTACACTGTACTATTAAAAGAGGGCTTTTTATTATATTATTTGTATGCATTGTAATGAACACCTGTTTGCAATACTTACAATTGGTGTATCGAATTTTCTCACAACCAATTTCCCGCATCCAGATGGCTACAACTTTCCGTTGCATTCTTTGGAGTATTCAGATTACTATATATAACAAGCTATGCGCAATGGAAACAATAAAATAAAACATTGTTGTATTGCTTTTTATTTTTATTTTATTTACTAACTAATAAAATACATTAACTGTTTGTCTTTCCATGCTCTGCACCAAGCACACGTGTCCTACTCTGCCCAATACCAGTACCAAGCACTCTGTCTTGGTTTGCGTTTGCTACAATGACAAAGTAGGTAAGCCCCCTATCTGGATACAATGTTCTGATAAAACCACAATAGAAGAACTACTGTCAATGTTCTTTGTGTTTTCAAGTCCAACAAATACCTAGGAATATCTTTAATCGACGCCAAAGACAAAAAATTAGAAAACAAATCGACACTTGAAAGGTTTGTAGGCTCCGAATACATACATATTACTATCCCCAATAATGTTACTGTTAAAACCCCAAGATTCTGCGCCAATAATGTTACTGTTAAAACCCCAAGATTCTGCCGCCAATAATGTTACTGTTGAAACCCCAAGATTCTGCGCCCAATAAAGCAATTAAAATTCGGAAACCAAAATCTCCACCAGGTTTGTGGGTCCACCCGGCTTTATTGCAACCAATGCGTACCGAGTATACTACTTTATCGTTGTGAATTGATTAACTAGTCCTGACTGTTTAGCCAAAACGCACAATCATTTATAAGTTGCACAATGACCCAGCATGGTTATATGTTTTTACTTGATTTTTTTTAATACATATTACCTTTATTCAATACACTTTTATACATACTTTACACACTTCACGTTACCAGAACGTCTTCCCAGAATTCAACAGCGTAATTATTTAATTACTTGATTTTTGATTGGTTATATTTGAGAGTACTGTTTCCAAGTTACATGTTTATTTTTGCAAGTATTTTACACTGGAATAGAGCGCTAAAAATAAATTAAAATACACGACAATAGTGTTGCACAGACTGAAGACATAAAAGTAGATGTTGGGGTCGAGAATCGCGAAACGGGCTTCCACCTGCGTGCCGATTGATAGGACGCTAATTGGATCATGCAGGCGTAAATTAGGGAGGCATTACATTGATGCCCAAACATGCTCCCCATTCTGCAATGCACACGCATGAGCGTACACGCACGAAAACCACAACATTGACTTGCCAAGATACCGGTCTGCTCGCAGAAGATCCAGTTCTCACCAACGGAGCGCACAATTGGCAATGTGCACAACAAAGGCGACAAGACACATATATAAGATGAGGCCGGCCCTAGCAGTATTTTAGAAACATTAGTAATAAAACCTTTTATAAAAGCACCCCTACCTTTTAACACTGGGCAACTAGTGCTCCTCACACCCCCTTCTTACTATAACAATAGGAATACCGAAATAAAAGTAAAAAATGTTTTTTCACATCACACCTTTTTATTTTTACAATAGACAAAAGAAAAGTACAAGAACACTATGGTGCATGCCAAAGTACACCACGTATTTTATTTTTATAAAAAAACGGTGAGTAGATTCGCTTTAACAATAATCCGGGGTGTTTTTTTATTTATACACAAGTGCAGCCGTAAATAAAAACAATGGAGTAGAAACACGGTTTTTCAAATGAATAAATAGCGCTTTTCTATTTTTATAATATTTCTTTCTTTTTAGCCAAATTGGAGTATTTCTTTCACATGAATTCTTTGGAAGTAGTTTATGTGACCTGTAGACTGAATAAGCACACTAACACTTTATTTTTTATTTTACAAAAGAAAAATGAAAAAAGTGAAATGTGCCAATGAAATAATATCAAGAGGTACAAGGAAATATTTTTTAAAAAAATTTCAACTCTGACATGCAAAGAAAAAAGTGATACAAATTAATTATATAAAGCCCTGGTACCTCCAAAATAATATTAGTTAAATTATTATTTCCTCTATTTTTGATACCCTACTCATTTTGTTATTTTTTTCTTGGCTTTATTTTTTATTTATATATTTATTTTCGCACACAAATATGACTGTCAAGCGCGCACACACTGTTAATGAATACATATTTGCAGATCCCGTTATTGAAGTAACCAAATGTGCACCATATGCCTTTGCGGCGACCGGTGTACTGAAAAGCAACACAACAGCATCAATGGTGGCATCGGAATGGTCGACAATAAGCAATATGCTGTTCTACAGGGCAATTGCTAAGCTTACCAGATTTCAGGACAACAACCCATACAATGAATATCAATCTCTCGAGTCAAGTGACATTGATGCAATGGTCAGCGAACACAATGTAAGCAGCAAGCATAATTACGCATATACCGCGTTTGTCTCGGCGGCGACAACAACAACACCAAATAACAATTCAAACCGTATTTCCAATTTTCCAGCACACAAGCACAAGGCGTTGGCCTCATTGCGTTTCTTACAAACCGCATGTGGCAATGTCTTCACGCTGCATCAAATCAATAGCAAAGTCGCATACGCAAAGCGTTTCATTACAAATGCATTCATTTCGCTTTATGCGACTGGATACTTTGCAGACAACCAAGAGGAGCCGTTGCCAATTTCAAACGACCCCAATGCGGGCAGTCAGACCAACAAGATTAAAGGTATGAATTGCACTAATGTCAACCCCGAGAACCAGCAGGCTACCGAATCGCTTATTAGATATATGTTGGACAAGTCCTCGCTGACGGCGCCCTTCATCAAACCCAAAGACATTTCTATACTGAGAACGTATTCAGAGATCGACATGTGGATGCGCGCGATGATCGAGTTCCACAGCGCCAAGATGACCGCGTTTCTGGACTCGTGCGCCCACAACCTTGCCAACAGGTGTATAATCGAGACTCGTTTAAATTTAAGCAAACTCGAGTCGCCCATCTGCAAAGCCAAACCTATTGACAGGAAACACACTGTGGAGGCATTGAACAAGCTTCTGGATGGCATCAAATATATGTCTAACAGCATTAAAAACTCGACTCTGGACAGTGTAAATTCGCTTGGCTCTGCCTCTTCATATGAACTGACCAACGGCATTAATGATATGCCGGACAGCGCAATCATGCAGCCCCATAAAAGACGCAGGCAGCAGCTACCTAGCCCGTTGTTGCCCAACACCCTAACCGAAGCACTGGCTTGCAACCCGGCTCCGCCATGCGCCTATTCGCTGTTTTCGGCTGATTTGATGTCAGTCTTTTACATCGTGCCCGTGTCCAAAGCCGCCAAACTCGATGCTATGAGGCTGCTGCTTGGGCTGGGCAGAGCGTGACTGACCCGCATATTGTTCACCTATTATTCCACTGTCGCGTCGTGGCTGGCCCCACTGGCAGCCCTGCTTAATTGGTTGTGTTGTGCACCCTGGTTCTTCAATAGCGTGTATTTCTACGTGCATTCCTTCTTTCGTCGGCAGAGCTCTCACGCGTATGGACCGGGGCCTACCACGCACTCTCGAAGCGCTCGCCTGTAAACATTCTTGTTCAAACGCCTTTTTCAAACACTTGTCGAAATAAAACAAAAACGATACTGAAAAGGCCAAATAATTAGAAGAGAAAAACAGAACTGCAAAACGACCTAGACGAGCTTCTTGGCCTCGAAGAAGCGGCGCAAGTGGTGCAGCTGCCAGTAGCTGACGGCGCCAACAATACTCAGCTGAATGAAAGCCCAATAAATGACACGCTTCTTGATCGACGACGTCGCAGCGTCAAACTCAAGCTCGCGCTCCCTCTGGTACTTCTGCTCCAGCTTGATCTCCTCCAACTGCGAATTGAGGATCTTAATCTTATCCGCAATACTCTTGATTTTCTCCACCGCCTCGCGGCCACCATCATCAGGCTCTCCAACATCAATGTCCAGCGTAAACCTGACCACTGACGATGACATCCAGCCGCCGCTAGACTGCGCCCCATGCGCTTGCACGCAGATCGTGTGCTCGCCAGGGTTGCCTGCGCTGAAAGAGAACTTGCCCTGGTGGCCGCCCTTCTGGTTCATCACGCGGTGAGCTGCCTCGTTGTCGTCCGCTGTCATTGATACGGTGATCCCTGGGTTCTCGACGTACCGCTTGTCTGCCTCGCGCCACTCCTCGGCCTTGTAGTGGCCCGTGATGAGAACGCCCTTGGGCAGCTCCTCTAAGAAGCACTCCTGCTCGCCGTCGCGCAGGTAGAAATGCAAGCCATTGGCCACATTGGCCGCGGCCATCAGCAATGCGACAAGGGTTGCTGGGCGGAAAAGCATCGTTTTGAAGATAAATAAAACTTGTTTATATAATTTTTTGCGAAAGTGTGAGAAAAGTGAATTTGTAAAAAAAAAAAGGATGAGAAAGCAGGATAGCAATGCAGAAGTATAAGAAGAAAAATAAAAATAAAGACACGAACTGCCACTGCCCGCTGCTGTCAAATTGCTGTCGAATAGGGTTGGGAAAGAGGGCGAAGAGGAAGAAAAATATAAATTGAGTTTCAATATTAACAATGGAGGGCCATTTGAATTTCGAATTCGTTTTGGTTCATTGTAATATTATCCGCTTTGGCTTGAAATTTAAAACCTGACTTTCCACGATACGCCATCACTATGTTCATTTTAAGCACCAACAGCATGAAAATGGCTCAGACCTTGCTGGTATGCAGTGATTGGGTGTTTTCTACGCATATCGACTCGACTCGGCTTTATTTGATTAAGTTTGACTCGATTTCGAGTCGACATGGGTGTGTACTATTGAATGATTTATGTGGCGTTCCTGCGATTTCAAGCCACTTGCATTGTATACTGATACTGTGTCCTTGATAGGACAATAATAAAATAGAACAATTGTTGATTGTAGCAATGGTACGCTAACACATTGTCCTTTTACCAATAAATACCTGCGCTGATGGTGTTGCCGTTGTAGTAGCAGCCCCAATTTCATATAAAACCCCCCTTCCAAAGCCAAAGTGGGAAATTATCTGCATTTTCATTATCAATATTTTTTTACCAATATGAACAACATTGTCTCTATTTTCTGTCTCGTCTTGCCAACTGCAACCCATGCCGTCTTTGCGACCGACGAATACCCGTACTCCGGCTAGCGCAGCGGCGTTGACCCCTGGAATTCCTACAAATGCCAGTGCGCGAGCTTTGTCGCCTGGCGCATCAACAGAAACCCCCAAATCAAATTCCACAACCAACACAAGGCCACTCAATGGGGGCAATGCCAACAGCTAGGACGAGGCTGCATGTAAGACCGATGTTAAAATCGATAAGCAGCCGGCTGTCGGTGCTGTTGCCCAGACCAGTGACGGAGAGACCGGACATGTGGCTTGGGTGACAAAGGCTTCTGGTAATCAGGTTACTGTTGAGGAGTACAATTGGGACGTTGATGAGGGGTACAATTGGGACGTTAATGAGGGGTATGCCACACGCAGCGTGTCAAATTCAGAGTTTGAATATTACATCCATCTCAAATAATCAGTGAATTATCATTTGTTTTTAAAAACAAGCCACGCGCTACTTTATAAAATGACCCATTAATTGAATCTGCGAGGCTGTATTTGCAATTTTAAAGAAACAAGAATTGGAAAATAAAACAACTCAATCTTTTTTAAATGCCGCTATGAGTGACCTTGTAAAAAAATTCCTTTTTTATTGTTATCAACTTGACTAAAAATAACTAAAAGAAATTCACTTGTAGGGCAAACATGTGGTTGAAGCACAAATCCCTTCTTTGCGCAACAAAAAACATAAAAAAACAACCTCGATGATACTGATGGCTGCATTTCAATCGAGTAAAAAGAAAACCCCAAAATTTCGTACAAAGAAAAAATACAAGGATGATTATTTCGTGTTTTGTTATTATTTTATCTCTTTTTGATGCTCATCCATTAATCCGCATTTGCCTTTTTATTTGGACATCAAGATACAACCATGCGTTTGTCATCTTTGAATTGGAAAGCCTAATGCAGGAGAAAAATGAGCGACTAAAAAAATCCGGCCGGAATATAAAAAAAGTAAACTTTTTGAACCGGATTTTTTTACATTTCATTATACTTGAGAAATGCATGACTGAGGGGTATTTTTGCCTTGTTTTGTTTTGTTTAGCATAAATGCTACAAAGAAAAAACCCGTGCGGTTATTTTTTTTGGTTTTTTTAGCTGTTGCCGCGAGGTGGGTTTCTTATAATGTTTTTTTTATCTAGCCGATCACAATCGGTCCAATATTGTTGTTGGCACTTGATAGTCGACACTTGCAAGGTTGACCGCAATAAAGCTTTGACGCGGGACCACCACGTGCAAGAAAATATCTTGTTGTGGAATAACTGTTTATCTTATTGGGAAGCAAAAGTATTTGCTTTTTTCATGGCTGAGATGGCAAAACAGTACAATAAAGATATTTGGCTTCAATGTGTATTTCAAATTGGATATATAAGCTGGTCGTCTGGCATGCAAAAATAATTTATAAGATTCGTTGTAGATCTCTTCCATCCTCAGTTTCCTCAAGCCCTTTCTTCCTCTTTTCACCTTACGCTTGCCTACTCCCTCAGCCGCAAACCTTGTACTAAATAAGCTAGTCTTTTTAGTACCCTTCGTTCAATTTAGTCACACTCTACTGGCACTATCCCCCCGCTTCCTTGTTGCTATTGAATTTTTTTATATACTTTTTTAATTGGCCGGTCCTTTTAAATATTCACATTTAAAAAACTCAATTTTCCGTTTCCAACATTGCAATGAAGACGACCTTTACTTTCTCCTCCGCCCTTGCTCTTTTTGCCGGCCTGGCCTCAGTAGCCAACGCGCACACGTACCTTAGCAAGCTCAACATTGCTGGTACACAATACGACGAGGGTGTTTGCATTCGCCCCTACCCGTCCAACCGCAACTTCCCAGTCAAGGATCCCTCATCCTCCGACATGACCTGCGGTGTCGGCGGTCTTTCAAGCACAGCTGCTAAAACCTGCCCTGTCGCTGCCGGCTCCAAGATCACCGTTGAGTGGCACCATGACAACGCATCTGACTCTGATGATGTTATTGATATTACCCACCTGGGCCCCTGCCTCGTGTACATGGCACCCCTGTCGAGCAACGGCAAGGGCGACGTGTGGTTCAAGGTTTTCGAGGATGGCTATGATGCCTCTAGCAATCAGTGGTGCGTCAACAAAATCCGCGCCAACCACGGCAAACTCGACATTACTATCCCGTCAGACATCAAGGCCGGCGACTACCTCTTGCGCACTGAAGTCATTGCTCTGCACGAGTCCGACACTGACTATGCAAGCAACTCTGCACGTGGAACTCAGTACTACCCCAACTGCGCCCAGGTTTCGGTCACAGGTTCTGGAGCTGCTGTTCCCGTGGGTCATGCTATTCCGGGCATTTACAAGACCAACAGTCCTGGCATTATTTTTGACCTGTACAGCTCCTACAATAGCTACCCGATTCCTGGCCCCGCTGTCTATGTTGCTGGCTCTGCTGCCCCTGCTCCTGTTGTCAGCTCTTCATCTGCAACCGAGTACACGACCACAACCGCTGCTGCTGCCACCACTACCGCTGCTACAACCACGTCTAGCTCAATTGAGAGCTACTCTGCTGCCACCTCTACTACTGTGACCAGTGCTGTCCAGAGCTATGCCACAACCTCTACCACTGAGTCTAGCTCTGTTGAAATATACCCAACCACCACTACTCAGACACCCGCTGCTTCCATCTCGAGCGCACCTGGCTCGCACCACTCAACGGTCACCGTCTATGTTAACAAGTGCCACTAATTTTACAGCAGCAAAATAAAAATTGGTTTTATAAATTGATACGTTTACTTATAGTTTCCTTTTACCCTTGGAATAAATGCAATCAATTACTTTCATTTCAGCAGGCCCTAAAAGTTTCCAACCCCTACTAGATTTATTTTCTCTTAAATAAAACCAATTCTTTGTTTTCCATTACGCTCACACTGCGCCACACAAATCATAGTTCTATTGCATGTGCACCGCTACTATTTTTGTCTCTACTCCATCGTTCATCCAAATTCCTTAATGCAAAATGACCACTAAAATAACAGAAAATTTTCTTAACATTTTTTTTGCTTTTACTATTAAAAAGAATACACCACGTTCCCTGTATTACTATTGAATTCTGGGAGAGACGTTCTGTGAACATGTCAAGATAAAATAATATGTATAAAAAGTGTATTGAATATATAAGTGCTATGCACTGGAAAAAGATGAACATATTACTTTGTTTGGTCACTGTGTGCCATTGATGATTGTATGTTTGGCTGAAGTAGCCAGGACTGGTTAATCAGTTGATGTTCATCAACCAATAATTACTGCACATTGCTAAAAATGCATGTCGAATGACTAGAATATTTGCAAAGAATGTGGTTTACATATCTTCAATTTAAGCTCAAATTAGCAGCCTGAGTATCAAACCTCAATTTTTATACTTTAGGCCTGGTAAATTAAAAACATAAATTTACAATAATAAAACTTGACATTTTTTTATATCTGGCACCTTTTTCATTTTTTCTACTGTCGAGTGTATTTTATTGCAATAATTTAAAAAAAAATTATTTGTTGCTTTGAGACACTAAGGTTTGGCCTTTTTACTTTTCTTTACAAAGTGGAAAGGGGTGAGCCAAATACAAAGTATCTATTCCTTATTGGTCTTGTGACAAACAATTGTATGAATGTAGCGTTTTTGTCTTTGTATATTCTGCCTTTATATATGCACACGTGTAGCATCTGCTGCTAAATAAGCAGCGTTGAGCAGCCCAAGGATATAAAAGTGGATGTTGAGGTTGAGAGCCGTGAAATGAGTTTCCATCAACATGCCGATTGACAGAGCATAGATGGTACCATGCAGGATCAAATCAGGGGACATAATACTGATGCCCTGATATGCCTCCTATTTTACAACGTACACGCATAAATGCGCATGTGCAAAGACCATAACATTGACTTGCCAAGACACCAGTCTGTCTGTAGAAGAACCAGTTCTCACCAACAGAGTGCACAACTGGCGAAATGTACAACAAAGGGAGCGAGATACATATATAAGATGAGACCAGCCCTAGTTCTACTTTTGACTCCTTTGATAATAAAAACTATAACAAAACCCAAGCATGCTTTTAACACTAGGCAACTAGTGCTCCACTCAAATCACGTCACCTTTAACACTAGACGGCTAATGCTCTCCCCAAATCACAACAGCAGAAAAGTTATCAGCATGTACATATTATTGAATGAATTTATATTAGGATGATTATATAAATTGTTTTATAAAAATGGACAGAGCTTGCAGCTATATATTTAAATTAAACGTCTACCAATACAGTTTAAAAATATTTTTTAATTTTCAACCCTCATTCGCTTTTATTTTATTTTATTTTTATATTCTAAAAGTTTTTATTATTATTATTTTATTGTATTCTGCACTCATCCTCACTTCTGTCATGCCACATGCCCCTCGTTATAATACTTATTAAGTTGGCAGGACCTACTTAGTATGTATTATTTATTCTAACAAGGCGAAGCTCCAAGTCCTACCATTTCACTACAATGAAATTCAAACTCGGTTTTGCATCTGCTCTTGTGCTTGTTTCCAGCCTGACGTCAATGACCAGCGCGCACACATTCCTGCGCACCCTTACTATTGATGGCAAGCAAACAGAGGTTGGCCAGTGTATTGAGCCCTACCATGGCCCTGACAAAACTAGTGGAGTCAAGGACTCTGCGTCCGACGATATAACCTGCAGTATTCCCGGCTCAAGTAAAGACGCCGACCTCTGCCCCGTTAAAGCTGGTTCTAAAATAAGAGTTGTTTAGAAACTATGATGAGGATGAGGTTGATGCTCCAGAGAATATGGCCATTGAAGAAAGCCACCAAGGCCCGTGCTTTGTATTTATGGCGCCCTTGGAATCTAATGGCAAGGGTGACGTGTGGTTTAAAATCTTTGAAGACGGGTACAGCTCTGGTCTATGGTGCGTCAACAAGATTTGCAAGGCAAGAGGAAAGCTTTAAATCACCATTCCTGAAGACATCCTGCCTAGCGACTATTTGCTGCGCACTGAAATTACTGATCTACAGGATACTGAGGTCCAGTATACCAAAGGTGGAAAAAGGGCGCTCAATATTTTGTTAATTGTGCTCATCTTACTGTTTCTGGTTCTGGAACCGCTGTACCTCAAGGCTAAACTATTCTGGGAATTTACAAGGCGAGCGGCAAAGCTGTGTTTTTATTTAGATAAAAACGATGCTACTAAGTACGTGACACCAGGCCCCGCACTTTATATTCTCGGCTCTTACAGTGCTGAAAAAGCCGTTGACCATAATACTTCTGCCACTAATAATGCTAAATCTGTAGAACTTAATGATGAGTCCAGCCCGTAAAGTGTTGAAAAGGTGGGGAAATCTAGCAGCAGTGGTAAACCCCATGATTGTAACAAGAAGCCCCGTCGCCGTAGATGATTAGCGAGCCCCTATTGTATGAATACGTATATTCATTTAAATAATAAGAGGTTTATAACTTGCAGCAACCGATGTGTAAAAAATGATTGAAGTTATAATCATTAACCATCTGTTTTTGAGTGGATATCATTGAAAGCCACTGCGAACACCAAATCTTTTTCTTGTTCAAATAAAATATAATTTATGCAAAATCGAGTTTTTTGTAGAGTGCTTAAAAATATAATATTTTTTACTCTGTTTACAGGTTGAAAATTTATTTATACCTTACCCTGTTAGCTGTCTGTCTTGTTTTTTTACTGACCCCTATTTGGCCAGATTTGCAACAAGACAGACAGCTACCAGTAAACACTGTTATAATAAAAAAGTATATACCAAAGGCAAACTATGATAAGCGCGCGACATCTGCTGTGCCGCACAAATGTACAAAAATATTAAAAGAACCAGCAATAGCAAAACAAATGCTATTTTGATACACCTTGAAATTGCATCAATTTCTAGTATCATCAAGATCTGGCAAAAACAGGTTCAATCATGAACGCCACGTGGCTTTGCAATCGATGTGATTGGTTCAGGGCGTCGGGTGACACCCTACATCAGTGTGATGCGTCTATGTGTCTGCGGGTCTCATCCCGGGTCTCATCCTGGGTCGCTACCCTGAATCCCTCCCCCCCTGTGGAGTTCTCAAACAAAAAACAAAAACAAAGCAGTGGCAACTTATGCTTTAGCTTGTTATGTTTGATATATATACTGTAATAGCATTGCAAATATTTATTTGCCAACACAATTGGCTTTACAACAAATATATTGTGTTTGCAAGCACAAACCCTGCGCAAAATATTTTTGATAACACATGCGCAGCAACAATTTTTGCCCTTGTCGCTATTCCCTTGTTTGTGTATTGTAATTGTGAAAAATGCTGTTATAAAACATAAACTCTGTAAAAGATAGAATTGATAAAATGTGACAATTAGGTTTTAAAAGATGCACATTGAATAATATGTATACGTGTACACAATTTGCCAGCAATTTGCTGCTAAATAAATAATAAAATTTTAACCATAGTCATTTTTTTTCTAGCGCCATTTTTTTATCTAACTGTTGGGAGTGTTTTTTTACAATAATTTAAAAATATAACAAAAATAAATTCCTTTTATTTTCGCAAAACAATGTGCTTTTGGCACGCTCTCATGACAGTTAATTGTATAAAAGCGATAAGGAGTACTTTTTTTATAAAATGAGCTTTGTATGTACGCATGTTAACAACTGTCATTTAATAAAGCAAATTTTAAAAAAATTATACTTTGTTGGATGGACGAGTAAATAAACGAAGGTGTAGATGGATGGATGGGTGGACGAGGACATTAATTGTTTAAAATGGTTAACTGCCGACACATTTTTGTAATAAAATAAAATAAAATTGCAATTGCAATCTCCGCCCTCCAATTTTTATTATTTTATTATTCTACACCCATCCTCAACTTATTTGTGCCACATACTTCTCGTTATAATATTTATTTAGTTGGCAGGACCTACTTAGTACGTATTATTCATTCTAACAAATTGAATTTCCAAGTCCTACTATTTCACTGCAATGAAATTCAAACTCGGTTTTGCATCTGCTCTTGTGCTTGTTTCCAGCCTGGCGTCAATGGCCAGCGCGCACACATTCCTGCGCACCCTTACTATTGATGGCAAGCAAACAGAGGTTGGCCAGTGTATTGAGCCCTACCATGGCCCTGACAAAACTAGTGGAGTCAAGGACCCCGCGTCCGACGATATGACATGTGGTTTCCCTGGCTCTAGCAAAGACGCTGACCTCTGCCCCGTTGAAGCTGGCTCTGAAATTAGAGCAGAGTTTAGAAACTACGATACTGAGGAAGAAGCTGATGGAAAATTCAACATGGCCATCGATGAGAGCCACCAAGGACCTTGCTTTGCATACATGGCACCCTTGGAGTCTGGTGGCAAGGGCGACGTGTGGTTCAAGATTTTTGAAGACGGGTACAGCTCCGGTTCATGGTGTGTCAACAAGATTCGTTTCTCTATGGGTTTTATGAACATTACCATTCCTAAGGATATTCTCCCTGGCGACTATTTGCTGCGCACGGAGGTTATTGGGCTGCAAGAAGCCATGTACGAGTACGAAGCGGGCCAGAAAAAGGGAGCTCAATATTTCATTAATTGTGCCCATATCACCGTTTCTGGTTCTGGAACCGCTGAACCTGACGGCTATGCTATTCCGGGAATTTACAAGCAGGATGAGCCGAGTATTCTCTTTGATCTGGATAAAGATGATGCTACTAAGTACGTGACACCAGGTCCCCCGCTTTATGTTCCCGGCTCTTCCAGTGCTGAAAAAGCCGTTGACCAAAATACGTCTGCCACTAATAATGCTAAAGCTGTAGAACATAATGAGCCCAGCTCGTCAAGTGTTGAAAACAGTGAAATCTCTAGTAGCACTAGTAAACCCCGTGATTGCAAAAAGAAGCGCCGCCGCAGATGATTATTTTATTTTCAATACATTTTCTACAATATATATAACTATGCGAAAACAAGTCATATAATACAGTTCAAAAACAATGTTTTCTACTTGAATTTTCTTATTTTTTGCATTTGCCAATTTGAAACTATTAATTGATAGTAAGCAACTGACTAACTAATTTTAGCTGCTTAGCCAGACGAACACTCAATTAATAGTTACACAATGACACACATTATATAGTTGTACTTTCTCACCTCTTCACTACAAATACTTATATTTAATACATATTTACGCATAGTATTTATCGATTCACATTCACAGGACTCTTAAATTTCAACAGGAATGTTGCAATAGTTATGCAAAGCGACAAAAGTTTACAAACGACAGCAGAAGTCCACTTTTGAAACACCAGCTGTTACGCTTATCAATGTTGGCCGTAAATACTTCGAGTACACTATGTATATTTATTACTACCAGGCAGCCTAAAACTGAATTTAAAGACGCTCAGACTTTTTTCAGTATATTACGCAAAATAAGTTTTAAGCCAGGTATCATGGCAAAGAGGGTTTAGACAGATGAGGTCAGATCCAGCCTCAGCAGTGCATAACATATCACGGCATACAAGGACAAATAATAACTGAACACCGTTGATAAGTTGTCCATTTCGTTTGCAGCAGTCATTTTTCTACACGCGCCCGATTGAAACAAACGCAAATTCGTGGTTGCCGGCTGCACGGACAATTGCTTGTTTTTCTGGGCAACAGGCGAGATTATGGTCATAGCTGCTGTCGTTGTCATCATGCCTGTAGCCACCCTCACACAGGCTACATACGCACTCGCTCTCACATGACCCTGGCCTGGACCCTCCTTGACTAACACAATGTCCAGTACTCGTACAAGTGGAACAAGCAGATAAGTCCCAAACTAAAAAGTATTAAATGCTGGCGTACACTTGCACAAATCCTGCTGGTCATCACGTATTTTTCAGCGAGAGCAAACGTACCACTACTTCTCTACAAACTGCAAGTACACTACATCGTCCACATTGCACAAGCGGTTAGCTGACGAGACACCTTCCTGTCATTTCTTGCAGCCAAGACTCGCATACTGCAGCGGCACATCCTATTGCAAGACGGGCAAAATAACTGTTGGCACCTGGACAGACTTCTCTAAAACATACTGCTCTACAACTCAATTACCCTGCTTGCCACTGCCCAATATTCTTACCTCTTCTGATGGCTTAACTGTTGGTGTGAGGCGGGAGTCACTAGTGGAAATTTTTGTGCAAATGCTGATAAAAATATTATCACATGTATTACTTTTTTATTTTTTTATTTTTTACTCTATTCCACCAATTGTGAAACACTAGTGATTAATGAGGGTATATTATTTTTAAATTAGCAGTCCATATATTGCCTCATTTTTCCATTGATTACCAATAGAGTATTAACTGCGCTGTCCTTTGTTGTATATGGTGGAAATTTTTGTTTGTCAACCAATATGTATATGTACATATTTTTTGCACGCAATCTATTGCCAAATAACAGACCTCGCTTTCAAACCACTCATTTTTTATTTTTGGTCAGCAGATTCTCAGTTTACATTTCAAATTTGAAAGTTGTCATTTTTCTATGGAGTTGCTTTTGTCGCTTTGTACATCATGAGGGTGGCTTTTACATTTATTTTAAACTAAAACGAGGTGGCCATTTTAACGTGTTAATGCTTGGCATTTTGGCTTCATGCAAGACACACTAATAATAGTGCGTAGAAAACCTAGCTTCATTACGCACGCATGTCATTTAATTATGTAAAACAAAAGGGTAATTAAGAAGAAATTAGCGAGTGCTCATGCTTTCAGCAGCTCCTTATTAATAAGACATGGACTGTGCAAAGCATGCTCAACGCTAGACAAAAATGAAGGAATGAATGAAAGTATGTACATATATACAGCTAGAAAAAGAATGGACAGACGAGGAAAGCTACTAAATATTTAAACTGGTCAAGTGCCGACAGTTTGTTAATGCTGTATATTATTTTCATTGCTTGTTATTACTATTCCAGTTTATTCATTCTAAATAACTAGTATTTATTCTTATTATTTTATTGTATTCTGCACTCATCCTCAACTTATTTGCCTCACATACTCCTCGTTATAATATTTATTTAGTTGGCAGGACCTACTTAGTACGTATTATTCATTCTAACAAGTTGAATTTCCAAGTCCTACTATTTCACTGCAATGAAATTCAAACTCGGTTTTGCATCTGCTCTTGTGCTTGTTTCCAGCCTGGCGTCAATGGCCAGCGCGCACACATTCCTGCGCACCCTTACTATTGATGGCAAGCAAACAGAGGTTGGCCAGTGTATTGAGCCCTACCATGGCCCTGACAAAACTAGTGGAGTCAAGGACCCCGCGTCCGACGATATGACATGTGGTTTCCCTGGCTCTAGCAAAGACGCTGACCTCTGCCCCGTTGAAGCTGGCTCTGAAATTAGAGCAGAGTTTAGAAACTACGATACTGAGGAAGAAGCTGATGGAAAATTCAACATGGCCATCGATAAGAGCCACCAAGGGCCTTGCTTTGCATACATGGCATCCTTGGAGTCTGGTGGTAAGGGCGACGTGTGGTTCAAGATTTTTGAAGACGGGTACAGCTCCGGTTCATGGTGTGTCAACAAGATTCGTTTCTCTGTGGGTTTTATGAACATTACCATTCCTAAGGATATTCTCCCTGGTGACTATTTGCTGCGCACGGAGGTTATTGGGCTGCAAGAAGCCATGTACGAGTACGAAGCGGGCCAGAAAAAGGGAGCTCAATATTTCATTAATTGTGCCCATATCACCGTTTCTGGTTCTGGAACCGCTGAACCTGACGGCTATGCTATTCCGGGAATTTACAAGCAGGATGAGCCGAGTATTCTCTTCGATATGGATAAAGACGATGCTACTAAGTACGTGATACCAGGCCCTGCACTTTATATTCCCGGCTCTTCCAGTGTTGAAAAGGCATTGAATCAGCTTCCGTTGCTGCCTCTGCCTCTGCATCCAATGTGCTGGGTGCTATGAAAGAGCAAACTGTTAGCAATGATTGTAAAAATAAGCGCCGCCGTTGTAGAAGAGCAGAAGGGGTTACTGAATGAACTCAACCATAATAAACAAGTATTTTATTTATAGTGAAGAATAACATTGTATTGCAAATATTATTAAAGTTTAATAAAATTGTAAGCCAACTATTTCCAACACTAGTCGAGTGCTTTGCATTTGCATTTTTAAACTGAAAATACATTGGTCGAATGGCTGAACTAGTGTTGTTAATTATTCTTAAGTGTAATTATTTTACAGTTACATTTTGAGAACTAATTTGTATTACATTAGAAGCGCGGCTTATAATGACTAGTAATTTTGTCGTATTTATAGATCCTGATAGTATAAATGTAATAGGTGCACGACCCCCACTTGAAGAGGTGTAAGTAAAACTCATGTGATAGTAAGAAAATTTTAATTGGTCATAAATGAAATATTGAATCCAGCTAAGCAATTGGCCACACCTCACTTTTTTGACTGTGGGCGACGAATCAAATACCAGTCCTATAAAATATTTACACTCACCAATCCGAATGTAAATATGGTGTCCTTAATTAGGAATGTTCCGCTCAAATCGTTAAAATTTATACCTTAATATTTTCATTTTATGAGTGGTTGCTTGCCAGCAGAGCGGTACCGGCTTGTTTCAAGAAAACTTTTTTCAATCATTTTTTTGCACGAAAACTTTTTTTCACACCTTCATTTGTCTTTTTTTTAAAAACACTGGTCTTAGTTTTTTATTTTAGTATTTCTTTGCTTGTTTTATCATTAATTAAAATTGCAGTTGGCTTTATCGTTTGGCAAATGGTTGCTATCCGCAGACGGTTCACAATTGCAGCGCAACTTGTTTTGCTTCTGGCCATATGCCTGACCGCCATGGGAGCAGCAGAGGCACTTGCTACTGACAATGCCAAGGATGCGTCTCTTCGTAAGCAGCCCAGACAGCTTACCATTACCTGGACGCAACAGCTCGGCAACTCGGCCTTGCCAACTACCTTCAGGGACAGCAATGGCAATATTCGTCCTATCATCACGCTGCCGGTTATCACTCTGGCTTTTTCATCAAAGGAATCGGATACCGGCAGCGTCACTGGCGAGCTGACCCCCAGCAAGACAATGCAGACGCAAGAGACGGATCAATTCCCGACTACTCTATCAACCACAGATGACGCTGAAGGGGAGACTACACCCACTACAGCTACTTTGCTCGACCAGACCAGCGATACCACAGAGACTATTGAAGCCACTGAAACAATTGATACCACTACCACGGAGACCCAGGAAGAGGATGCCTCTACTTCACCAACAACCGACACGGGCACCGAAACGGATAATACAGACTCTCAGCCCACTGAGCTGACGACTGTGGAGGAAACCGACACGCGTACTTCTGCTATAGACTCAGCCACCACGAGAAGCACTACTGAAGATAGGTCACGCACAAACGATAGCCTCCAAACCACAACCAGCAACAGCTCTGATGGCAGTAACAGCAGCCAGCAGAGCACTAAATCCTCGCGCAAATTGTCCGGCGGCGCCATAGCCGGCATCGTCATCGGCGTCGTAGCGTTCGTGGTCATTGTAATTGCAGTGGTGCTGTTCTTCTACTATAATCGCAGGAAGAACAAACGACTGAGCAACCAGCTAGAATTTGACCACGACTTCCCGCAGTATAACCCGTCGGCACCAATCCCATTCCCACCGGCTCCAAGGAGCCACCGTCAATCGGTTGCAGGCATTCTGCCGAACCAGATGCAGTATACTGACAGCGGGAATGACGGATACAACGTGGTGAGCGACACTTCTGTTTTGCCGGCTGCGTACAGGCTACCAGAAACACTGTCGCAGACACTGTCGCAGTCCTCCTTAAGTGATAGTTTTGTTAACAGGCGTCAGCCTCCAGTTTTCATGCGCGATTTGGATGAGTCTTGAATTACAGATTTATTAATATAAAAAGAGCGCTATGACTACACAAGACATGAAACAAATATAAGACGAAAAATATGTTTTGTATTATAGTATCACCATCAAGCTGGTTATGGTGCTGCAGCTTATGCTGGCGGTGGTGCTGCAGCTTATGCTGGCGGTGGTGCTGCAGCTTATGCTGGCGGTGGTGCTGCAGCTTCTGCTGGCGGTGGTGCTGCCGGTACCGGTTTCGGGTACAAAATGTACCCTCCGACATTAGCAACAAAGGCTACACCGCAAATAATAGAACATATAAACATGATTTTATAAACTGAAGCACTAAGAGAGATATCGTTATTATTCCTCGAACTCTGGAAAACAGGATCGCTAATGAGGAACACACCCATGGATGCAAACCAAGCGGCAAAGATTTGCATGGATGTCAATGGGTCCTTAAACGCAGGAAACCTATTTAACCCTGCTTTTTGTCCAGGAAGGCCCATTATCATGAGCACCAGTCCGATTGTGAAGGATATGAACTGGCTAGTGGCGCAGGCTGCTGCGCTGAGCTTTGGGAACACCATGCCCGAGTATATGATCATGAAGGCGTTGCTCAACATGACTCCTATACTGGCGGCTGTGCTGAACAATTGTACTGCTGTGTATATACCACTCATTGCAGTAGAAATGAATAATTTTAAGTAGTATGGAAAAAAGGAAGTATTAAAAAGATAAATAGTAAAAAAATAATTATAAAAAGTGTAAAATTAAGAAGCAAAACAATGCGTCGAATAACGTCAGCTGCAACTCTTACGCTGCAAGAAAAAGGCAACGGCAGGAAGACAAAAAAATAAATTTAAAAGGCCAAATAAAACATTACAAAAAGCAGACCTTTAAAAGGAAAATGAAGCTTTGTAGGGCAGACATGACTTTGGTTGTTTGTACAATTAAATAAAAAAATTAGCAAGAGCAAGAGCAGCGCACACAAATATATAATTGAGCGGCAATAGCGTGTTAATGGCAAACAAAATAAAAATAAAAATAAAATTCATACATTAATAAAAGTGTAAAAGTGTAAAAAAAAAGCTAACAAGTCAAATAGCGCCTTCTATTTAAACTTCCTCAACTCATCACAAGCAGGTAACTGAATAGCCTCAGCGGCCTTGAGTCGCTCCGGATTGGCGCCCATACCGAACCATCCCTGGGCCAAGTAAACCTGATTCCTCTTGTTTTCTCTTTCAGCTCGGCACTTCCGCTGCAACAGAGAAATATACTCAGCCTCGACATCCCTCTCGAACCCCCAAAGATCCCGCTGCGACTGCTTCTCGTACGCTGCAAACTCGCGTGGATTCACCCAATACACCACATTGTGACTGTTGGTCTGGCGCTGTTTCGAGAGTTGGTGCGTCTGCTCAAACGCAAAGTTTGGCGGCGAAACTATACCGAATAATGCAGGGATGATTGACGAGGAGAAGAAAAGGAGCACCAGAAGAAGGATCGGTAGGAGCTGCCTGCACGCACGCATGAACCCGTTGTCATCGTCATTAGCTTGCTGCTGCTGCTGCTGGTGCTGGTGGTGCCTGTGTCTGGGGTTGGTCCGCTGGGCGAATCGCACGTTGGGACCGAATTGCACGCCAAACTGGCCCAGATCGCCGCCGCCGAAAAACATGTTGAACAGATCTTCGGGTGAAATCTCATCATCCGAGCGACGGTAATACTGCCGCCCACCCTGCTGCATACCACTCCCGCCACCCATTGAGTTGGCATTATCGCTGGCACCAACGCCAGCACCATCGCCAAACCGATCATAATGGGTGCGCTTATTATTGTCACTCAGGATATTAAAGGCGTGTGCAACCAGCTTGAAGGCCTCATCGGCGCCCGGCGCAGTGTTCTTGTCGGGATGAAAGATCAGAGCTGATTTCCTATAAGCCTTCTTAATCTCAATTTCGGTCGCTGACCTCTCGGCCAACCCTAGTACCCGGTAATAGTCGCTTTTGGCAGCCATCACTTTTTTCACTGCCAACACTTGCTCCTGTGTGTATGCCCGGCCGGCACTGGGCTCCTCTTCTTTGGAAGCAGCTGGTTTGCGCTGACGCAGAGTTTCAGCCCTGACATCATTGGACGCCACTCCTGCTGCTGATGCTGCTGCCGCATTGCCGTTGCCGTTGCCGTTGCCGTTGCCGTTGCCGTTGCCGTTGCCGTTGCCGTTGCCGTTGCCGTTGCCGTTGCCGTTGCCGTTGCCGTTGCCGTTGCTGCTGTTGGTATTAGAGTATTGGCTTATGAGGCTTTTGCTTGTTTCTGATGGGAAAAGTGAATGTGACTTGCGTGCCAGTCGGAGTGCTCCGGCCACGTCGCCGCCCTGCCATTTCCTTTGTGCAATGTTGAGTGCCCGCTCGGCTTCATCGCGATTGCCCTCCATCTTGAATGGGTAAGTAATATAAGGAAAAAAGTGTAATTTGGTGGAAGCTAACAGCGAGTACAACTAAAGAAGAACAAAACCAAAATGAAGATTACTGTGTGAGAATAAGAGCTGAGAGAGGAAATGGCAAACTACAGAAACGCCGCTGCTTAGGAACTTTATCGTGGGCGGACGTTACTGGCTGGCTGCACAACATCCCGGTCTGGGAAATATCATCACTGCTTCAGTGTGGCTTGATCAAATCAAAAGTTAAATGTTTAATGGTAATTTAATTAGGAGAAATGAAAGAAATAGAGGAAATAGAATAAATAAATGAAACATCCGCCCAAAAGAGGTAATTGAAGACACAGAGTCCATACCTAATAAGGAGCGGTCATGAAAAAAAGAAATGAAATGAAACATAAAAGTCGTAAAAATGACAGTGGATTCTATGGTACAGAGAGTTTCTTCGCACCTATAAGCACTCCGAAAAACAGGCCCTATAGACCTTAAGTGCTTGGGGTGGTTGCGAAAAAAGGGAAGCGTTTTATATGGCTTCACCGCCAACAACAGCAGCAGACAATGGCATCTGCTGAGCAGCGCTAGAAACACCATCGACAGAGTCCGTATTTGTTGTATCAGCCGGGTTGATGCCCGTGTACTCGTGTTGCTGCTGCTGGTCATTGCCCGACCACTGTCCGACAAAGCCAGCCTTGTTATGCTCGACAGAGCCCATATCTGTGCTGTAGAATCCACCAGCAGCCATAGCCACGTTAGCAGCCATAGAGGCGGCAGCAGCCATGTCGCCACCGTCCTGCTCCCCATTGCCGCCCGAGATCATCTGGATACCGGCAGCCAAGCCGGCATTGACCAAGGAGTTTGTCAGATCGTTCTGCTCAGGCATCATGTGCGCAGCAGAAGCATGGTCATAGCCATGCATGTCGTGCTCGGACCCAGGGAACATCTGCACGTTGGACATACCGTTGACAAACGACGAATGCGACGAAACCAGCGTCTGCATTGACGATGTGCTCGGCTGCTGCCCTTGGTGCTGAGACATACCCGTGGCGAGCTCGGCGTAGGCGCGGTGCAGCTCGGGGGACTCATAGGGTGAGTCATTGAGGTACGCCGAGGAGGAGTTCATGGCGGCTCCTGACGACACATTGCGCGCAGCCATCTGCTTGCGCAGATCTGCGCCGCTGCCCATCCGCGAGGCGCTGTAGCTGCCGCTGGGCATGGTGTGAGCGCGCGGCTTGGCGCCCATCCCATTGCCGCCAATTCCAAGGCCGAGATTGTTCTTTGTCTTTTTGCGGCTGGGCGACGATCCATCAAACACTGTGTAGTCGTCGCCAAACCTCGACGTATCAGCCCTTGTGCGCTTGCTCTTCTTTGCATCGTAGTTTTGCTTTTCCTCACGATATTTAGCGCGGAAGTACTCCTTGACGTCCTCGCTCTCGGTCTTCCACCGGCTGCCTGCCTCACGCGAAATATCCGTCTGGTTAATCTCGGGCATAAGCGCGCGCAGCTCGTTGATCTTGTGGTTGCGGTACATGATGAAGGCGTTGCAGGGCTTGGATGTTTTCTCGCGTGGAAGCCCGTTGTTTGCGGCATTATGTCCGCGTGAGCCGTTTTTGCCGCCGGCCATTGCGCGCGGAAGATGTTCCGCGTGATGGGCCATGGCTTGGCCGGCAGCAGCCTCGATGCTGCTGCCGTTGGGCACGTACACTAGGCTATATCCCTGGATGTGCTCGATGAACAGGCTGCAGTCCGAGGCCATCATTTGGCGAACGTTGTGCTCGACGACCATGTTGGAGTGCGCGTCGTAGCAGAAGACAGAACTGCTGGGGTCATTGAGGACACAGGAGGAGAAGACTTGAGTGCCGGGACCGGCTGCTTGCTGCTGCTGTTGCTGCTTGGTGAAGGGGCTGCGTGCATAGTGGTTGAGCATGGACATTGAGTCGGAGCCTGGAGGTGCGTTGCCGCCGCCCATCATGTTGTTGGGGTAGCCCATTGAAGACATAGAGGAGTTGCCCAGAGGCTGGTTGGCGTACATGTAGTTGAATTCAGCCATTGTAGTTTTAAAATATAAAGTAGTGTAGCTGGGGGCTTAATATAAAAAAGATGTGAAAAAGTAGCTTTTTAGGGATGCTTTTTGGAAATGCAATAAATAGGATATGTGTAAAAATATATGTGTATATATATAAAAAGCAAGTTGTTATTATAGATTGTTGTTTCTATAAAAGCGTATATAAATGAGGTTTTGAAAGGCTGTGAAAGGCTATGAAATGAGGATATGAATGCAAAATGCAAATGAAAAATGAAATGCAGAGTATTAAAAAGAGAGCGTGTGTGTGTAAAAGTGATGAGACTGGAATGAAGGAATAAAAGAGAAAAAGTAAAAAGGACAGGTGCGCTTTCATCTTCCTTTATAATATTATCGAAACAACCCTCTCAGCCATACCTAGCTTTGTATTGCATTTTATTAGTACGGGAAAATAAAATAAGTGAAAAATCCATGCAATTTTTTTATCCTGCTTCTCGTACTGGTTTTTTTTATTTTCCTCACAAAAATGCAGGTAAAATGCACAAAGTCTCTAAAGTTTTTCCTTTCTAAAAAGGACAGCAAAGCATCCACGCCAATAAAAATAATATATCCACTGTATTTCCTTCTCTTATTTTTCACTTTCCTTTGCGGAGACTTTTTGGCAGCCAAGGAAAAGACAAGCGACATTCGATTTATTTTTTCTTACTTATTTTCTGAAAATCCGCTCACAAAGTACACAATCTCATTTTTTTTGCGTGCTAAGCGAAAATGAGCAGGGAAAAAGGAGGGAGCGGAAGGTGAAAATAAAGTATTTGTCTACTCTACAAAGTAAAAAGGAAAGTGAGAAAAATCCTTGTGACTTGCTTTGTAGACAAAAAAACAAATTGGATTTTCACCTAATAGACAAAAACTTGTTTTTGTATTGGCATCCCAGTTTTTATTTTGTCGCTTCCGCCAAAATGATGCGAAAGCCAAGAAAAACAAGCATGACTTGGCAATGCGGAAAATTTTGTTTTTCCTCTTCTTTTTTCAATGGGCTTTAGTCTACAAAGAAAAATTATATTTTTAGATTCAAATTTTCTGTTTTCCTTTCTTCCGAGTATCGGAACCATAAAAATATTTGCTTTGTTATTTTTGCGTTACCGCAGAGAGACCCTGCACCATGCACCTTTCCCCTTCCAGGGATTGTCTACCTTGTCTTTGCAAGAACACATAATTTTTGTTTGAAAAAGAATGAAGAGCTTGGGATGTTGAAAACCTTTCGGAAAGATCTACATCTAAAAAAAAGTTTACGTTCCAACAAATGCGACGTAGAAAGGTTGTATCATTTTTGTATACTTATTTCATTGCGTGAAAATGTTTCTTTATGTGGCTATTACTATTGACCCGAGATATTGAGATCAGCCATGTTTGTACTCAATCGTGCACATGCTCGTTTTTTCTTTCAAACTCAATTGGGGAACATAGAGCATGAATATAGCACAACAGTGATACGACTTTTTAAAGAGGGCCCTTTTGTATTTTCTAAAAAAACACTGAATCAACTTGCAAAATCCGACTTTAAAAAGAAACAAGCATGAAGAAACAAAACTACATTCCGATTAACACAAGCAATAAAAATAGGAAAGTTAAACTAGAATTCATTCTGCGAGCGGAATAAGGTCGAATACGCAACAATAGTCCCATAAACCAACCCGCCACCGACCACACTCATCGTCATAGCGGCTGTGGTAATAATACCAGAGTGCGCCAATACCAAGGGCAATCCGAATCCAGAAACCACAAAAATAGACGTCAAAAATCGTCCGAAATCAGCCACGGAGGAGCTGACGTCCGCCAAGGGGTCGGAAGAAACGTATCCCCCAAACACCGCATTGGGCAACGGCGCCAGCGCATATGTGAATACCACAACGAGTGGCCACCAGTTACCGTACAATGCACAGGAGAGGATAGAGAGCAGGAACCCTGCGGCCAGGCATACTGACAACGCGACAATTCTACATTAATTAAGTGGGTTTGATATGAGTACAACTGGTAAATAATAATAATTTATATATGCATATGCATAAAATCCATATATGTTGAGCCCCCTCTCCGTTTCTGATGAAGCCTTTGCCAAAAACCGCTTCTACTTACGCTAAAAACAATGCCAAATGCACGAAATAACACCCACATATACAAAATAAAAAAACGTGTAGAGAAAAATTACAGAATTAGTACACCTTGTAAATTACTGCTCTGCTGTGCATCACCTTCACGCACTCGTTCCTTCGACATCTCGATTCCACCACCCCCTAATTTACGTCCTCCGCCATGCTTACATCTAACTCCAGCCGCCATTTGTATGTCCTTGAATTGTTTGCCGTTGAGTCTGTAAAAGTATAAAAAATAAAGTAGGTAAAAATTCACAAAATAAATGAAACTGAATCGAAAGTGCACAAAAATAACAAAGACATGAAATTAAGAAGAAAAAAGTGAAAAATAAAAATGCAAGCTCACGCACTCCGCCTCATTCAAACACGTGTCATCATTGCATGGCCTGCCTTTTATTATTCACTCGTTCCACGTGAGCACAATTACAGTTAATAAATAGGCAAAAAAAATAATGTGCTGTTGCCTGGAATCGAACCAGGGTCACCACGGCCACAACGTGGAGTACTAACCACTATACTACAACAGCATGAAGCTGAAGCACTATTAAATAACCTAATAGTTGTCCTCTGATTACTCTTTGGCTAATACTAATTAGTATTGGATACTAATTATTTAATTTATTTATATTAGATGCGAGCACTTTAAATTTTACTTACTGTAAAGCAAGACGTTTAAAGTGTACCAGTTTTAGATTTAATTATGTTAATTACAAAATGTCTTTTTTGTTTGAACTGGCGCGAGCTAAGCTTGCGTCGCAACAAGACAGAAAAATAACATATTTAATAAACTTTTGATGTGATTTTAAAATATAAGCTCCTAAATCACAAAGGTATGTATATGTTAGATAAAAAAGGCTTGCAAAGTTTTGTTTGAATTATTTTTTTAAAAGCTGGAATAAACTGCATGACTAAATGTCTATTAATTTAAAAATACATTGTTCTAATACAAGGAATTTAAAATTAAAGTATAGTTAATAGTGATATATATATAATTGTAATATTTATTGTTAAATAAAATAATTATAATCACGTTTTTCCTGCAGTATGCGAATCAAACTTTTTAATGTAAGTTTTCAAAAGTTTAACGCACTCATTATGATATGCGTTGGTATTCGTATCAGAATCCTGTTTAAAATTATTGGCGCTCTTTTTTAATTTCTCGCTGGGTATCCTGAAGTAGCCGTTTGTAATCATATCGCTCACTCTGGACAACTCCAACTTTTTTGCATATAATTTAAGAGCCTGCAGTGTGACCCGCTTTTTTCTGCCCAGTTTATTGAAAGCTGTACCGACTTTTTTTAGCGATTCTATTGTAATATCATTCAATACCAGAATGACGGCGGAAAACACGACCAATATAAAAAATGGGGAAGAGGGGCTTTGTGGCGTTAACATTAGTTGGAAGAAAAGGATAAAAGTAAAAAAGTACTGAGATTGAATTAGACATACAGTGTAGAGGAAATTTGCGTTTGGCACAATGTCTTTGCTGTTTTTATAAAAAAAATTTAACACGGGTTTTTTCAAAATGTTTACTTCATCCTATTTTATCCCATCTCATTCTGTGGTGCCCAACACACATTTCAAGCCACTATCTTCCCTTTTCAAGAATCAAGATTGCCCTCATGGCCACTATACACATTTCTGTTATTGCTGGCTGACATCAAGGAACACCATGATGTTTACAACGCTGCCCACACAGCGCTGCCCCCTTTTTCAGTTTAGTAAGTAATTTTTAAGACTTGAATATATCGATTTAGACCCACATTTTTATAGAGCACGACACACCAGATATTCCAATTTTAAAATATATTTTGTTTATTGGTGTATCCTTGTATTTGAAATAATAAAGTAAAGCCACATTAATTATATAAAAATGGTAGAGTATACATACTTTTGTAAATTGGTTTGCTATTGGCTTTACAAAAATACCAGAAGAACTGGGCCATGAAAACGAAAACAACAATTGCAATTGCGCTATCTTTGGTGGCATCGTGCAATTCCAAGCCACATAAAGAAACTTAGTCATTCGATTAAAAGAAATTAAAAAAGTGGGTCTAAGTTTATTTTGCTGATATTGGCTAGCTGTTTTGTTTGATTTTTACTATATATAATTAGTAATTCCTAAATCTAGCCCTAGCTAACGTTAAATAAATATTTTATGCTCAGTAAGCCTTGCCACATGCACACAGGTAATATTGTGTGGCTATTCCCACGCCATTTTGGAATATCCACTGCATTTGCAGCCAATGTGACTTCAGGTTAAAATAAAAAATTAAGGCATGTTTAAACATTGTCCTCAAATTAAATTGCCAATGTATTACAAGCAACTTTTTAAAATAAATATTTGCATCTATGTTCGCCTTTGTCTTGATTTTCTGTGTTTCATTATTTTTAATAATGACTGGTGCACCGCAATGCATTTAGTTGCCAATCTGTTTAACTGGAAATATGTCCATGATTTATTGCTTTTTAATATCTGTTACAAGGCGACATTGTGTGCATTAAATTGTATTGCATGTTCTAAGATTAATGCACAGACAATAAAAATAGGGAGGTTCTTTGTAATCAATCGTGAATCAACAACAGGAATTGAAAACAAAATTGTGAAAAAATGTCAAAGCAGCAGCAACAGCAGCAGTTTTTTTACGAAATGAGAACATAAACAGTACTTATTTTTCTTTTTCTTTTTCTTTGTTTTCTTTTCGGTCATGTATTACTATTTACTTTCACCCCATTTATTGATTATTTATTTTCTAACACAGTCTAAGCATGCGCAACCAACGACCTAATTCCAGAGACGCATGGTGCTCTGCTTTTGAGTTTCAGACATAAAATTACTTTTGTTAAAATCAAAGTGCCCTCCGGGACGCCCTCTTCCGGGACAACGGATACCCACAAGTATTCCCCAAGCATTGGCCGTGCGACAAACCAATTCCCAATTGAGTAACACGGCGCACCAACGCGCGAGAGGCGCGTTCAATTTAACTTAACGCCCACGTTCAGTCCTGAATCCAGCAACAAAAGCTATGACAATAATGATACTGACAGCCAGCTCACAATCAGCCAAGAATTTAGAGCTGCGAGGTACATTGCCCAAAGCAACAACAATAAAACAGTAGCCAGCAGAGCCCAGCGCCGCGGAAAAGGCAAGGAGATACCAACGAGTACGCAAAAAAGCTAATGGTCAGCGAGTTCCCGACGACTGCCTGCGCGAGCTCTTGGAGCTGGGCACACTTAACCGCATGCTGGAAGTGTACAGGCGCGAAATCGGCCAAGTGGCTATTGACAGCTACCGTCCCTTCCGCAGCGCCTACTTCCACAGCGTTGTAATTAGCCATCTGGTCAAAGGTCAATCATTAGAGTTTGCCGAAGCCGCTCAGGTCTGCGAGTCAGCCGTGGTTCTAAACAACGCCGCTACCTCAGCTCGGCTTTTTGGCGGAAGCACAATGGAACACCCAGCTTGCTGTGTTTTTAAATATTGACGCGGCGCACACAGGACAGCCGCTAATGCCAATCTTGGGTGGCAACGAGGCAGTGCAGAACCAGAAATTGTGGCAGGATGCTGACTTGGCTTGCATGGACTACGCAATGGCCGCCGGCCACCAGATTGCAAATCTCAAGCTGCGCGCAGTGCAAGGTTTTCTCGCGCGCCATATTGAAGCAAAATGTCTGATTCGGCCCATATACTACTACATGTACAAGCGCTACGCTGACACACAGAGCACCGAATTACCCGTGGTGGATGAGGGCATGCAGTTTCAAATATACAGCACGGTGCTCGAGGTCATGGAGCGCTCATACGGAAGAGTTTTGCCGCTGCCATACGTCATGTACACCACGCTGTTTGCCATAGCCTGGACCAACGAGCAAATAATCAACGGTATTGTCAAAACTGGTGGCTTGCCAACAGACGTTTGCTTATCCGTGCGTTTTGAGCCACCGGAGAAAATATACCTGCCAACGATGCTGCATTGCTGCCAAAACCGCTGGGAGCCAAGGATCTTTTAGAAATTATTGACTGGGATTTTGCCGCTGTCATTGGCCGTTTGCTTGCGCACCGGTACCATGGCTTGGATAAAAGCGAGGCGGCAATGCGAGCCAAGCTTGGAGCGCTGGCGTTTGGAGTGGACACATCGCAGGACCAGCCGTATCCGCCCATTCTTCCACTGCAAGACATGCAATTTCACCAGTTTGTCCACCAGTATGTGTCGATGATTTACATCAAGTGGCCCCACGGCTTTGTCTATATGGTCATTGATGAGGCTGTGTGTGCTTACAATGTTATTATCCAGTCCATCCGCGACCAACCGACCAGGGACACCAAGTAATTTGATTGTTTTATATTGTTTTACTGCGTTATGACAATAAAATCATTAACAAATAATATGTACGTGTGCACTATTCATTTTTTACATAATTGTATCTGTGCTCGCTGAGCCAGTCAGATACTCTTTCGAGAGTCCAGTGGTGCCGACCAAAAAATCAATGAAATATGAAATCCGCAGATAAAAAGAAACCATTTGTATGCTTCCGCAATCCACAGCGCTATCGACCAGCGATATCATACTGTTCAATGCGGTCAACTTCAGCATGCCGCCGTCGTTGACCACAATAGCCGTGCCAGAGTCGCCGCTGCAAATGCTGCGACCGGGACTATTGTCGCCCAAGGAGCAAATCACTGGGCCATCAGAAGTCAACGAGGATTTGTTTCCTCCATTACAGTTACCAACGCTGGTGATCAAGCCACGCAACTCCGTCCGGTCGATACTTTCAGACTCAGCCTTCCCCCAGCCCATTGCCAGCATGGCCTGCCCCACTACCAATGGTTTGTTGTATATAACTGCGCGCTGAGTGCCGATGTCAAATGTAAGCTCTGGCACTTCCACAACCGCAATATCGTAGTCCATGTCCAGAGAGCCTTTCACAAGCGACCTCGGATGCAATGTCACTTTTTTCGCGTGCACATACGCTTGGTTGTCTTTGTCCGTGGATTGGTGCCCAATGGTGATATCGGCGGTTGGACCATTTTTGCCCGGTGGAATAACGCAGTGGGCTGCTGTTACTATGTGCCGCGGAGATATGATTGTGCCGCCGCACATACCCGATACTTTTCCAATTTGGGTGCTTAGTGATACGACAAATGGAGCCATACTGCTCGGCACGACAAATCCTCCGTAGATGCGTTTGGAAAGATTGTTCATTGGAATTGCCAGGCCAGCTGTGCATCCCAGGATGGAAAAAATTACTGCTATAAATAATACTATTTTTAAGAATGAGCCGTTGCGTGTATACATTGTTGGTAAATAAATAATATGGATAATGAAATAATAAATAATGAAATGAAGATGCAAAAAAATGCAAAAATGTTTATATAATAAACATGTCTTTTTTGTTGTTGTTGCGGGAGCCATATGTCTGTATTTTATAGTCTGAGTGCAATGGCAGCCACTGCAATTATTTACTTGTGATATGCGCTTGCAAAAAAGACAAACATGTTATTTCTTTGACAATACGATTTGAGATTTAGAAAGGAAAAAAGGAATAAAAATAAAAAAAGCTGAATGCGGAAAAATGAATAACATGTATAAAAAGAAAGGCAATTGGTTTTTCTTTTACACATTGACAAAGAATGAAGGGAAAAAGGAAGCGACTTTTCAAGCCAAAGAAAAGCACTACATCTTTGGCATTCTGCACATGGGTCAATAATAATAAAATATAATAAACATAATGGTGATGGCAATGCATCATGTGGGGGTCCAATGTTGTCAGGCATTGCTGCCACTATGGTTTCTCTGAATTCCAACACAAAATGCACTCAATGCTATTGTCAATGAGCGTGGGGAACTCTCAAGCTGATATGCAGCAAGCTGCGGCCTCACAAAGATTAAACGGCTTGACACTCAGCTACTGACCCTATGGGGAGGTCTAAGCTTGTAAAGTTGCTTTAGGCGTGCGCTTCCAGGAAGACATAAACTCAATCAAGCTGTGGGGTCCCATTTGAGAGCATCTAGTTGGGATAAAAAAGATGCTGTCGCAGTCTGTAGACCGACTTGGACTTGTAATATTTTGGGGATCAATTTGGACGATATAAAAGCACTCTACAATATGATAAAAACAACTTTTTTGGCGCACAGCCAGTGTGACAAGTACACGGCGTTCTCAAATGGCATGTATTATTTTATTTGCACAATTTCAAGCATGCTTATCCGCACTTGGCTAATTTTGAAATTTAGCCAAAGTAGGCTCAACGAAAAAACAAAGCAAATTTCGGTTTATTTTATAATAATATCAATCTTTATTTGATATTAATAGCATTTTAAGAAATATGATTTTTGTTTGTTGTTTTTCGGGTTGCTTGCTTATTTTTGGGCGGTTATACCGGTGGCTTCAATATTGCGTTGCCAGAAAAATACAGTCGTAATTTGTGTCCGCAGATAATTGCCCAACGATATGGCCTACCGTTGAGATACGGTAATATTAAGAGAAAACACCCGACAAATGTTGGGTTTTTTACTGCAAATTGTTTTTCTAGATGCTTTTTTATGACCAAAGTGGTCAGTAATAAAAACAGTAAAGTATTTGCGGCAAGCTTAGTGAACAAGCAAACACTTTGTTTTTGTATAATTATTGTCCATTATAAATATCATTCAAAAAGTGAAAATGGGGAGGGAGAAGATACAGTGTCCTTTTTATTATTAAAAAATGCAAGAAATAAAAGGTTGGAAGGAGAAAGTAAAAAAGAAGAGATGACAATGCCAAGTCCAAATCAAAAACAAAACGTTGAGAAAAACACAAATAAATAGGGCGGCACAAGTATTGCGAGAGAGAAAACGCCGCCAAACGACTAATGAAATGAGATCAACTCTACAACATATCGTCGTTGCGACTACCCAAAATAAAAAATATGCCGCCAAATGTTGGTGCTTCAAATGCGCGCTTGAGAAGTGAAGGGGGAGCGTGTCCAAGGCAATAGTCACCTTCGTCCTTTTAGAGAGTACTAAAAAATCCGAGACCCATCAAATTCGCCCAAAAAAGACGCATCAAAATCCAAAAAACGAGGGAGCTTTCAGATCAACGCAAAGTCCTGGGTCCAGTAAAGGTTATTCTCGCCAAAACCAACAGCGTTGTAGTTACCGATCATGTTAGCATAGTGGCCTTGGCTATTCACCCATCCCTGGACAACTGCTGTGACGTCCTTATAGTTGTAAGCAACGTTCTCGGCAACGCCCCTCCATTTGAGACCAACCTGGGTGCAGCGCTGGCCGAGACTACCGGCAGAGTTCGCATGGGTCATCTTGCGGATCTGGCTCTGGTAGTCGGACTGGCCCTGCGCCATGGTGTTCAGTCCATTGTTAAGCTGCAGTGGGGCCTTGCCGACCTTGGAGCGGACAGCGTTGACCTGGTTAAGCATCTCGTACTGCCAGCTGGGCGCCGAAGCAGGCACGCTGGTGTAGACGGGCGCTGGGGATGTACTGTACACAGGCTGCTCCTGAACAGTCGTGTATGCGGGCTCCTGGGTGCTGTAGTTGACGTTGTTGTCCTTGATGTACTTGGTCACTGTGACCGTGACCGTCTGCGGCTGGGCCTGAGGAATGGTGGGCGCTTGGTAGTTGGTGTTGACCTCGTTATAGTCGCGACGAGCCAGCGTATCAGCCATGGGGAGGGCGCTGACAAATGAGCTCAGCAGAGTAGCTGCAAAAACCAAAGTGGAAGAAATTTGAACCATTGTTTGTAAATAAATGGAATATGGGGGTATATGAACAAAGAGAATGGATGGAGAATGTGGGATAGTGAAACGAGAAATGTTTTTTCTTTCTTCAAACAAAGCGTTTTTAGTATCGAAAAGAAGTGGAAGGGAGAACTTGCTAATAAAGAACGGGCAATGGCTTTGAAAAATTCTGGTCAACAGAATAAAATGGGCCAACAAGTTGAGTGGATAACTAAGAATCAGGAAGGGGGACAAGAATGAATGAAAGAAAGAAAAGGTGGGGAGGTGTGTGAGGAACGAGTGAGCTGAAGAACAAAAAATAAGAAAAAAGTGAAGGCTCAGGGAAAAAGTTTTGGACCTTTATATAAAAATTCAACGAGTGCAATATTTCTGGCAACAGAGAAAAATAATAGGAGGCACTGTGGTCAGTCAAACGGATTCTGCACTTTGGGCTGAAATGCCGGATTTGTTTGTTTTTGGGAAAAAGAGCGAAAACGGATGCGGTCTGCTTGTTCAAAAAAGAAAATACAAAAGGGAGGGAGCTAGCGAGCGTTGGGAATGAATTGTGAGCAAAATGGTTTTATTTTCCGCACTCTGGGCCCGCGTGAGTGATTGTCCTTCAGTCAGTGAGTGTAGTCTGGTAGTGAAAGTGGGTTGAGAGAAAATGATTTGATGCTATTTTATGTCACTCGATTGCTTTTGCTTGCTTGCTTGCTCGGCTTTTTTATTTTTCGTGCGCAGTAAACGATCCTTTTATGTGCTTTTTTGTGAAAATCTTGCTTGTCCCTCTTTTTTATTCATCAAGCATAAAGGAAATAAAAAATAATGAATAAAGAATATGCCGGGTATAGCGCGGAAAAAACTACAATATTCCTTTCGTTTTTATTCTGCTTCTCACGAGGAATACGATTCCGGCTGAGCGTATCAACACTGTCCCGGACAATAAATTGGAAAGCAAAAGTAAACCAAACCAAACCAAATAAAAAATAAAAAATACATGAGGGTATTCTTTCCCCCTTTTTGTGCTGCTGCGCCTCCTTTTCACATAATGCTGTTTGTGTATTGGTTCATACAAATACAATCCAGCGCATGGTGCATATCACGATTGGCATAATTCAAAAACAGATTAATAAATGAATTGGCCCAGATGCTGTAGTGTTTGATTGCTATTACCACTGTGACTAATTTATATTCTCTACGCTATTTTGTTAATATGACATGCTTGGAAGTATCCAATGACTCGCATCAGTGATTGTGATTGTGACAGCGGCAAGCAAAGCGTGCATTGAAATAAGGCAGATTGAGCGGTAGATAAAAAATCATTTTGGGCGTTAAAAAAATAAAGCCAGATCGCTTTTAGGTGAGTATTGAGTTTTTGGAGAGGTTGGCCTGCTGATTCACCAGCCCAGCAGGCCTCCTATATGCAAGAAGAAACTCGATGAGTGTGAATTTTTTGCTTGTATTAAAATTCTCGAGGCAGAGGTCGATGAAACTGACCACAACCTGTTTTCTTTTCTTGGGAGGGCAATTGAAGGCAAAAGGAAAATCCTTGCTTTTCATTTATTTCTCTCTTTTTTGTATTCTTTTGAGCAAATCCGGACACTATTAATTGGAGATTTACGTGCTTTCTCTTATTTTAGGGAGAGCTGCATGCATATTTCTCACTCACTCACCTGCTCTCTCACCTCACCTTATTATCACCCCCCAACCCTGGCCAGCATGTCGTCCTATCTGCATGCTTCTGCTTGTTTTTCTGCTTGAAATACCATCTCATTATTCTCTCCTTCTCACTCGGTCTGTTTTTTATAACAATAGGGGTTTCTGCTTGTGCTTCCGAGTTATTTTTCGGTTCAAGTGGTAAAAACAATATGATTTTACTACTTCTGTCTCTAAAAAAAAGAAAGAAAGAAAATATTTGATGTCATAAATCAAAAACAAACATTGAAAAATGGGCCAGTTATCCGAGCACTATATCTGTAAGTTTCTGTCTGAGTAATAAAAATAATGCATGCAAAAAATGAAAAATACCGCACATTGATGAATTTATATTTTTATTCTGCTGTTATTGTTGTTTAATCGAAGAAAAATATGACCGAACCGGTCCGGTTTTTTGATCAATCAGATCATAACACCCAATATTGGACAACAATGCTAAACTAAAGAAGTGCAACACGCTCAATATGTGCATTTTAACATTTTGTTTTTTTTTGCTCTCGGTGTCAGCATGGAACAATATTCACTACACTATTTTTGAGCTGCACATTCGGATATATAAATATAAATACATTACAATGTGCCAATTTATTTGGTTAATTTCCTTGTTTTTTCACCAGTTAAATATTTGTAATTGCCTCTGCTTTTTTATTTGCGACATACGAGAAAGAAACCGAGCCAATTCATTATTGGTTTTAAAATTTCACTCGTTTTGCATACGCATTGGTCCCGCATCCAAACCCGGGCCCAAACCCAAACCCAAACCCAAAAAGCCATTGGTCTGCAAAATAGTCCGGAACCGCGTCAACGCATACCACCGCTGCCACGCGGCACTCACCAGCGCCAGAACCAACGCAACCGCCTGCAACACCATAGCCCTGGGCTCCGCATAATACCACGCATTCAACCCCAAGTGCGTAAAAACAGACAAATGGCTTAGATACCCAGTGTGCGCAAAGCAATCGACGCCGAGCACAAACAGGTACGCGCCCAGAATTGCCGAACACATGGCAAACGACTGCGACGGCACCCATGCCATTGATACCGACATCAATAGTGCACAAATAACAATAAGCGCAGCGCTCCCCCCGGCACTGTGCACTAAACCCATGTCGCTCATCGCCAGAATGTAGAACCCAAGGCTGGTTCCAGAAACAGCACCAAGGCAAATATTTCCTGCAACCGTCCACAATGACGACATCATCTGCAATGAGACAGCTTTGGCCGTATTATATGTAGCCAGCATCATTGCCACCCCCTGTAACATGCTGATTACTACGTAGAGCGCTCTGCGAGTTTCGTTGTTGTGCGCGGTTGGTCGTATTTTTTGACACGCCAAGTATACGAGTGCAAACCATATCAGGTATACGCTTGCGCCCAATGCCAGTTTCTTGTGCGTGTGAGCTGTGCTCATGAAGAACGTGCCAAGGAAAAGCATTTGGACACCAACCATGCCCTGATCGGCATGGACTATGCTTTTTTTAAATGTGTTTGTATGCGGCATTCAGATAGAACAAGTTTGTATTAATTTAATGGGAAAAATAAGCTAAAGAATGGATAAAAAAGAATAACAAAGACATACAATCAACATTGTTTAAAATATAAAAAAGGTATGCTTAGTTGGCGTCTGGCACTGTTGTTTATAGATGTGAGTTGTCTTATCAGTAGTTTTTATTATTGTTATTATTATTTGATTTACGAGACACTGTTTAAATAACCGCTCACTTGTCGCACATCGCCGTTTGTGAATGGTCATTAGCAACCAGCATTCAGTTGGTATGTAATCTAAACGTACATTCATTAATCTCAAATTAATATACTATCACATTGTTTTTATATTTCACTAACAAAACCCTTACGTCCCTGATCTTGTAAACATATTTTTTAATATAGGCATGGGCAATTTAGTATTGCTAGCAGCGACAGCCGCGTGTATATGTTTGTCACCTGCATATTCATTTATTTTTTTGTTCATTTTTGTAATAATTTTATTGTTGATGTCTGTAAAAGTAATTTGCTTTTCTTTTATTTTCAGTTCTTTAGCCAATTCAGTTTTTATATTCTTTAGTGTTTTATTTTCAAGATAAGTTTGCCAAAAATCTTTGGACTCTGTGTGGTAGCTGAAGTCTATGTAAACGTACACTCTCCCTTTATGCTGTACTTTTGGAACTGTGTGGTTGCTGCAGGACATGGTTGGTAATTAATGTAAATAAATATATATAGGAGTAATAAATAGGTATTAGTGTAAAAAAACAAAGAAAATAATAGGCAATAATTGGCCTTGGGCGCGGCTTGCACACTATTTATATGCTTTGGTTTTTGTAAGGGCTGTAGGTTTATTTTTTAAACTCAGCCATCTACCCACCCCTTATTATTTTTCTTATTTGCATTAACTATAGGCACACAATCAGAGGCCACTGCGCCAGTGGCCAAGGTTGTAGCAGAAATAAGACAGGTGAATTAAAGGGTGCGCCAATCACATACTTTCTTTAACATGCCATTTTTTAAAGAATTAAAAATAAGCGCAGCCATCACTCTTTTTTTCTCATACAATTCCTACTTCAATGCTACATCAACAAAGCTCCACTCAACTGCGGTCATGTGTATTGTTTTACTCTGTTTTTATTCTTTAGATGCTGACTGCAACTGTTTTTTAAAGCCAGAAATCAGCTGGCTGACTGGCCGGCTGTATCAACCTTACAACCAAGGTATTTTTGCTCAACTGTTGGAATAGAAGTAGCAAATGCATTATGCGCGAGAGATTATATTTTTAAAAAACAACTGATTAAATTACTCAGTTCTTTGCTTTAATAAACAATTGGCATTGCCATAAAATATACAGGCCATATATTAACATTCATTTTTATATACGAACATAAACCTGTGTCCAGAAATAATTGCTAACACCGAATCCAGTAATGGTATAGTTACCTATCAAATTTTCATAATGTCCCTTGCTATTCTTCCAAGCGGTAACAACCGAGGTAACGTCTCTTTGACCCCCAGCAGCGTTCTCCGCAATGCCCCACCATTTGACACCAGCCCGGGTGCATCGCTCGCCAAGCGTACCCGTGGGATTACTATGAGTGACCTGTTTAATTTGGTTTTGGTAGTCTGCCTGATCCTGTGCCACGATATTAAGACGAATATCCAGTTTTACCGCCGCCTTGTCTGCTTTGGCGCGGATAATATTGACCTGGTTGAGCATCTCAATGTACCAGTCGACCAAATTCAAAGGAGTCACCATGCTCACCGGTGCCACATAAGTTGTGGATGCGGTTGCAATAATGCTACTGTTGGCCGTGGTGGCGGGGACAGTGGGTTGCTGGTCTGAGTGGCTGGATGTGTATTTTTTGAGAAACGTCGGTTCTGTTGTAATTATGGCCACCTGGGATTGTGTTTGAATTATATTCCTGTGATTGTAATTGTGATGAGCCAGGGAATCGACTGTAGAAACGGCGGCCACTAAAGTGGTCAGCAAAATAAAAGCAAATAAAAGCATCGATAGTAAGCGGGCTATTGATATAGATTTCACAAATGTACAAAATATGTAAGTAAAAATATAAAGCAATAATAACTAAAACTCCAAAAACAACATTCCTGGGCCAATAGACAAAAATATAATTTGTCTGGCGGAACCAAGAGCAAAAAAACTGAAATGCAAATTAATGTAAGCGTGGGCCTTGATATCAAAAGGAATAAATGTAAAAATGTTTAAGTCGACCAATAAAACCCTTTATAAAAAAGCAATTGGCAATAAAAACTTATGACAGCTTTCTTTTTACAAAACACAAGGCAGATAAAGTAGCTGTTAAAAATAATTAACAAGCAAATGAAAAGCAAAATTCGTGTCTTTGTTCATTTTCCGCTTGTAATTATAAAGTTAATTCAAAACGTTCCTTGATTTGCAGAGGTCAATGGTTAATCAAATTCACCGCTGTGAATTTTAATAGTTCAACATACACATGCTTGCGCGCGCTGTCAGTATATATTAATATTATTGAACTTCAAGTTGAAAATATAAAAATACAAGCGTTGTTCTATTTTTAGATCAGCGCAAATGTCTGAGTCCAGTAGATATCGTTAATAGCAAAACCAACAATATTGTAGTTTCCAACTATGTTAGTATAATGGCCGGCGCTATTCTTCCAAGCGATAACAACCGAAGTGACATCCTTCTGTCCCGCAGCAACGTTCTCAGCAACACCCCACCACTTGACACCAACCTGGGTGCAGCGCTGGGTAAGAGCGCCAAAAACATTATCGTGTGTCATTTTTTAATCTGGAACTGGTAATCGGACTGTTTCTGTGCCATGAGAACCATACGGTTGTCAAGCACCAGAGCAGCTTTGCCAGCTTTGGTGCAAATGGCATTGACTTGGCTGAGCATCTTGGTGCACCAGTCGGCCGGAGCGGAAGGTGCCTTCGTGCTTTCTGGGGCTGCGGAAGTCGTAGATGTGGTTGCAATGATGGTGGTTGCGGAGGTGGTTGGCTCAATGGAGGTTGTGACGTACTTAATAGAATATGTGGTTGGCATAATAAAAGATGTGGTTGGCTTAATGGCGGTTGTTGTCTTTTTGGTAGAAGTTATGGTCAACTTGATGGAAGTTGCAATTGCGTGTCTCTGAGGCCGGGTCGGTGCCCGATAACGGTTTACGGGGTTATATGCGCGACGAGCCAGAATATCCTTTACAGGAGCAGCACTAACAAAGGATATTAGCATGGCATCGGCAAAGACAAGAATAGAGATGATCTGGACCATCGTAAAAAGTAAAAATATTTAAAAAATGGGTGAGCTGGGTAATGAGTAGTAAAATTCTGTAACAAGCAAAAGCAAATAATCTGATCAACAGAAAGCGCCAAAAATAGTTGTAAGAGTGTAATAAGGAGACAAAAGTATAAAGGGGAACAAATAAGCTAAAGAAAAAATAGCATGTTTTTGAGTATGGCTATCTGGCCTTTTAAATACATGAACCAGAATAAGCATGCTTCAGTCTGCGTCAGAAAAGTATTGTACCCTACAAAAATGACTGCCAAAAAAATCTACAAATTCCCGCGTGTTTACATTTAGAAACCAATGATATTTGGTTTTGGTGCGCTGCTCAATATTTAAAGTGGCTTTATTTATTGTTAACCACACGAACAGAACCAACGAGAGCGAGATAAAATATGATTGGTAACACCCATAACGTTCGATTTATGTCATTTTTTAAAAGCTTGTAAACACAAAACGATGCACAATATGTTTCAGTTGTTCTGAGCAGCAGCAAACTTTCATATCAAAATATTTGTCTAAAAAGGTAAGAAAATAAAACAAATTCAAATACATATCTTAGCAACCATTTTATTAAATAAAAAGCATGACACACGCTTTTATACCTACGTGCTGGCAATGCTTTGATTAAAATCACAAAAATGCATTTGTACCTGCACATGGCCTTGGCTGATAGCTACATATATTGTAAAAATTACTATATCCATTTATTTTATAAAAAAACAAAGATACATGTTATTTTGGGTTTGCGACATATTCAGATTTAGCAAACGACCACTTGTTTTGTCATCGTTTTACCAATTTACCAGCAAACAAGTTTGTAAGTTTGCTGTTTCTGCAACCATGCACGTTGCTGTCTTGACACTTGCAGCATATTTTTTAAAAAAGGGCTTTTACAAAAGCAATATGTTTTTGTATTTTGGTTTCCAATACTCCACATGATTACCTTTGTTATTGTAAAACACAAAATATTGTCGTTTTTATTTAGCTACCGTAAAAAATACAAAGCTTACGGTCCGCACTTTTATTTTATGGCACTTCTCCAACATTAGTCATGACGACAATGAATACCGTTGACATTAAGCTTCCATGGTGAGTATTGTAAGCCAAATAAACTTGTACTTATTAATATACCAGGTGTTGACTGGTTGAGCCAATGACGATCAGCGCCCTTGTAAATAATTATAAAGGCGCACAATCACAACAATAATTGTTGTGATTGTGGTGCCCAACACACATTCCAAGTCACTATTTTCCTTTTCAAGCATCAAGATCGCCCTCATGTCTGCTATACACATTTCTGTTATTGCTGGCCAACATCAAGGAAAAACATTATATTCACAGCGCTGCCCCCTTTTGTAGTTCCTTAAGCAGTTATTGGTACATAAAAATATATTAGTTTAGACCCACATTTTTCTAGAGCGTTACAGTGATTCCCTCTCTCTTTTCTGGACTAGACATTTGGGAGATAATAAATAGACATATTTTTATAGAATTATCTATTGACTTAAACCAGGCCTAGTAATAGTAATTCATTTTACATTTCATTTGAAACAAAAAAATGCAAGCTCTGCCTATTTTGATGAGAATAGATAATTTACTCACCTTAATCCTGCAGTACTGTATATTAAAGTAGCTGACTAAAAAATATTTTTCTGTTTACCTTCTATTGAGGTGCAATTTAAAAAAGAGGTTGAATGTCTTTGTACACATTTTTACCAAAGGATTGGTAAATTTAAAAAACAAACAACTGGCTGCTTCATTTACACTGTGTCAGCCACGCTTATAAACTAAAATTGACACTATTGCAAGTTGTTAGAAAGCAATATTGCATATGGGTACAGGCAACTCAGTGTATGACAAAATTAGGAATAAAAACGAATGTGACACATAAAATTATAGCCTAGACCTCACATGCAATATTCTTGAGTGCTCAGATTGCCAGAAACATATGATGAATGATATTTACTTTATATTTAATAAACTAAATTACTCTACCAGTATAATGTCATCCAAAACTGTTGTGCTCTATAAAAATATGGGTCTAAATCGATATATTCAAGTCTTAAAAATTACTTTTCTTAACTGAAAAAGGGGGCAGCACTGTGTGGGCAGCGCTGTAAACATCATGGTGTTCCTTGATGTCAGCCAGCAATAACAGAAATGTGTATAGTGGCCATGAGGGCGATCTTGATTCTTGAAAAGGGAAGATAGTGGCTTGAAATGTGTGTTGGGCACCACAAAAACCAGTATATTAAGTTTCCTGTCAGCACCACAGCACTTTGATATGACTGTTGGTTTAAATACATTGTTTACTTCCTGCAATGCCTGAGTGTGGGTGTAAGGGATAAAATTGAACTAATTAATGTTAAAAGACATCTGATATAAAAATAAAAAAGCAGCGCTGTGTGGGCGGCGCTGTAAAGGTCTTTATTGACACCTGATGTGAGTCAGCAATATCAAAAATGAATATTGCGGCAATAATGTCTTTCTTGACGGTGTTCATATTTAAAGACAGGAGGAAAAATTTTAAATGTGGCCCGGGCACCACACCTGCCACCCATGTACCAGAGTTACCTCTATGAAGCATTTTTAAATTATTGGTTGATGGCGATCAACTGATTAACCAGTCTTGGTTGTTTAGCCACACAAACAATAAGTCACACAGTGACCAGAGCAATATGTTCTCTTTTCTTTATCTTACACAGTGCATAGCACTTGTTATTTAAATAAACTTCATAGCATTATACTTTATCTACACGTTCATAGAACGTTCCCTATATTCCAACATAAATGAACCAATTTTCCAAACTGACAAAAGAAGTTCTAACGTACCTATATTAAATAGGCCTTTGTGTTTCACAGTAACATACAAATTGTGACATCAGAAATGGGGGCTGCGTCACGTTACAGCGCAGACGCGTGAAATATGTTTATGATATTTCATGCGCACAGCGAATTCCAAATAGTGAGCTCTTTTTGTAGTATCTTTAAAGTAATATTTATTATAACTAGCTTTATTTGCATTACACAAATGATTGTTGTCAGAATACATTGCAAAAGTGTCAGCATCGTCCACCTCTTTGTCGTCTCTGTTTTTAATCATAATGTTTGCATGCTTGTAGCTGCTCACATTGCTTAAAGTTTTTTTTTCAAAAATCCAACGCCTTTGTATTATGAGACAGATATCCTATCGTGTTTTGATTTGTTTTTAGAGTATTCCAAAACGAAGTGGACATTGTCGTGCTCTATAAAAATGTGGGTCTAAATCGATATATTCAAGTCTTAAAAATTACTTACTTAACTGAAAAAGGGGGCAGCGCTGTGTGGGCAGCGCTGTAAACATCATGGTATTCCTTGATGTCAGCCAGCAATAACAGAAATGTGTATAGTGGCCATGATGGCGATCTTGATTCTTGAAAAGGGAAGATAGTGGCTTGAAATGTGTGTTGGGCACCACATCACTCCCTACG